AGGTCAGGTTCGTAACAAGTCGGGTTAAATTCGGGTTTTGACGGGTTAAAATGGGTTAGGGTCAATTTCAGTTCAAGTCGGGTTCGGTGCAAGTTAATTAAATTGGTCGTTGTAAACCGGTAAATCAGCGCAAGTTGTAAATCGGTAAATTGGCCGTTTAAAAGAAAATTGAATGGTTCCACACACCCAATTGGACTCCTGGAGGGTATTAGGGACCATTGTAAACATTTCGGCAATTTTTATTTCCAGGCGAAAAAAAGTCAAAAATTTCCAAAATTAAAGGCTAATATCCACGCTTTTTGAGAAATTTTGGAGATTTCGGGGCCTTGTGTCGAAAAGTCTCGAAATTATATGGGATACGTTTCAGGGTCATATAATGCCGTTTGGAAACATAAATTATTATTATTTGTTGTCATAAATGTTCGTGGTAGGCTTGAATTAATGAAATCGGTGCAAGTTGTAAACCGGTAATTTGGTCGTTTAAAGGCAAATTGGAAGGTTCCACCCACCCAATTAGACTTCCGGAGGGTATAGGGACCATGGTAAACATTTCAGTAATTTCTATATACAGGCGAAAAAAAAGTCAAAAAATTCCAAAATTGAAGGCTATATCCACGCTTTTTGAGAAATTTTGGAGGTTTTGGAGGCCCGGTGTCAAAAACCCTTGAGATTTTAAGAGATAAATCATGGGCTCATATAATGCCGTTTGGAACCATATATGATCATTATATGTTGTCATAAAAGTTCATGGTAGGCTTAAGTTAATTAAATCGATGCAAGTTGTAAACCGGTAAATTAGCCGTTTAAAGGCAAATTGGATGGTTCCACCCATCCAATTGGATTCCCGGAGGGTATTAGGGACCATTGTAAACATTTCAGCAATTTTTATTTATGGGCGAAAAAAGTCAAAAAATTCCAAAATTGAAGGCTAATATCCACGTTTTTTGAGAAATTTGGAGTCTTCGAGGCCCGGTGTCTAAAAGTCTTGAAAATCTAAGGAATACATCTCGGGGTCATATAATGTTATTTGGAACCATATATGATCTTTATTTGTTGTCATAAATGTTCGTGGTAGGTTTGAATTAATGAAATCGGTGCAGGTTGTAAATCGATAAATTGGCCGTTTAAAGGCAAATTGGATGGTTCCAAGTCATACTGATCATAATTTTAAAATATAATATCGATTAAGAAAATTAGTAAATTGTAGCCATGTAAAAAAAATTGCAAATTGTAGCCCAAAAGTTTTTATAAATTGCAACATAATTCAATTTTTTCATCATGTTGCATGTCAAAAAATGTTCCGTTAAGGTTTTAGCAGCTATTTTAGTTCTTAAGGGTCCAAATTGAGCTCGCAATGTTCCCTTAAGGTTTTAGCGGCCATTTTAGCACTTACATTACCTTTTGTTTGCTAATTCCTAGCTTAATTCTGAATCTTAAGGAATAAAATGGCCCCTAAAACCTTAACTGAATATTTTTCGACAGACAAACCGATGAAAAAGTTGATTTGAGTTGCATTTTACAATTTATAACAACTTTTTGCAATTTTATTAAATGGCTGCAATTTGTAAAATACTAACTTTAAATACATGCAATTTACAAATTTTCCTATAGATTATAATATAGATGTAAATAATTTATATTTATTTATTTAATTTTATTTTTTTAAAAATTTTTTGTATGATAGATGTGAAACTATTTTGATACATACCAATATGAGATATATGCTGTCATGCTGATCCTAGTTTGTGATATATTAAACTTGATATATCATTTATCATAATGTAGTAGATTGAAGCTTAGAATAAAAATTCGAAATTAATTTGACATGATCGATATTAGAGCCAAACAATTTATTTTCCATAAACAAGAAATGTACCAAGACAGAAGTCATTGAAGAACCAAGACTGTGATACTAGGTAAATACTTGATTTTTTATTAGAAAAATGAAACCACTATTTATAGCAGTTTCCCCAAGAGAATAATGTGAATTTACTAAAACACATCGAATATACAAACTAATAAGGCAATACATAATTACTTGACACGCACAAAACATAAAAATGGCCAATAAACTTGTAGCAATATCTTTTGGTTTATTGTTATTTCCCGTTTAATGATAATTTTATTTAACTAATTAAGATTATATGACAATTAGCATATATACAATAAATATGCACATATGAGATCTGTACACTATATCATTGTTACAACAATTTCTAAAAAACTCACGTTTTTGTAGCAAAATAATTGAGTTGGTTGTTAATTACCAACAAGTGATGAGTGCTGAAAAATACGACAGAATTAGCTCGCTTCCTGATGCTATCCTCGTTGATATACTCTCTTTAATCACCTTGAATGATGCTGTCAACACGAGCTTTGTATCGCGGCGATGGCTGCATCTATGGGCTGAAGTCACAACTATTTATATACTTATCAAGCAGTCCAAAGGACCCTTTAAGTATTGGACTTCCTTCCCTAAAAAAATACTGCCAAATCTCACTTCGCCGCTCATCCGAAGATTTTGTCTAGATATAGAGTGTATTGTTAACAAGTATGGGTTGGAACAAATCGATTTGTGGTTTAACCGTGTTTCAGATCGATGGAAGATCGAGGAGATCAAGGTAACAACAAAGGGTTACGACGGTCTAATCTCTTTTCCCGTGATATTCCAAATACACTCGTTGTTAGTGCTTGAATTGTATGGTGATTTATCTTTGAATTTGCCTCTTAAAGTGTTTAAGATCCCGAATTTAAAGAAGCTTGCTATACAAATCAATTTTACTCAAACAAAACAATGCAAGTTTTTCGAGTCATTAATGAAGTCTTGTCCATTACTCGAAGACTTGTGTTTACATTTTTGTTCTATATGCAAGACAGGATTTTTGGTTCCTAATAAAATTTCATTATTAAGTCCAAATTTGAAGAAATTGAATTTATCGTTTTCAGGCCAATATCTAATGAGAACTATTGTAATTGATGCTCCTAATTTGGAGTACTTAAAATTGGGTTCTTCTAATAATGGTTTGCCAAATTTTAGCTTTGTCAATACTCCTACTATGTTAGTTGAAGCTAATATAAGTGGCAATCTTAGTAAAGGAGAGGTGACAACAAAATTTTTTGACGCGATTTCTAGAGTAAGATCTCTTGGTGTATGGAGACCTATGATGATAGGTTCAATGACAAGAATGTTTGTTAATTTGACTCGGCTTGTATGTACCATGCCTTGTTCCGGGGAGGACACAAAGGCGTTCTTAGGATTACTCGAAAAATGTCCTCTACTAGAGACTCTTACCGTTAACTTCACAAGTTCCGGTACATGGGAATACTTGAGGCTCCTTTGTTATATTGAGGCTCCAAACATTTTAATTCATGCTAAGAAGATAGAGATGAACTTTATGTCTTCACTAATGCTCAACAATGATGTTTTGAATCTAATTAAGTACTTGCTAACTCATGCACGCGTATTGGACCGGTTTATCATCAAGATTAGTACTGATCCAAGTGGTGAGATTTTAGAAGAAGAAAAAACCCAAGAAGTTGAAGCTTGTAAGGAGATATTTGATTGGGTAAGATTTTTATCAACGCGCTATCAAGTTGAATTTTCGGGGAGATATCTCAGAATTAAACAATCTGGTGAAGAATGCAAGCTCATAAAGGGACCAAATGGTTACATAATTTGTAAGTGAAGCATAAGTTAAATCATCTTGCAGCATAAAAAATTTCTTTTGATGTTGATGTAGTTATGGAAGAACTTTGGTTTGTTATTGACTCTTTTGATTTGATTGATTACATTTGTGCCAATTATTGAAATTTGCAAAAGGAATCAATATTGAAATTTCTTTATATTTTCTCTATTATAAATTTATAATCCTTTGAAGATATATGCTTAATTGATATTAATTGAAGATAATTTCTATCTTAATTGTCGTATTATGAGAGGGGGAGATTTTGGGGTTTGCTCTCCTCTCATTAACCTATACTTTTAATTTCCCTTGGTCACCTAAAATTTTAGAATGTTATAGGGATTCTAAAATTTTAGGCGTTCCCCTGCAACTTGTTAGAGGACCAACTCAACCAAAAGTTTAAGCTTGTGGTTGAGGCCCAAGAATATGTTTTATACTCTATTATTTCACCTCACATGAAACGTCCTTTGGCCTTGAAATGTGGATGCAACACAAATCCACCCATATCTGGTGCAAATTAATTCCAATTTGAAAAAGGGGTGGATGAGATTGGATCTCGTGACTTTTGTGTCACGCTGACTCTGCTGCCATGTTAGAGGATCAACTCAACCAAAAGCTTAACCTTATAGTTAAGGTGCAGAATTATGTTTTATACTCTATTACAACTAAACAAATCCAACAAGTTAAGGTGCGGATTTATGTTTTATACTCTATTACAACTAAACAAATCCAACAAATTTAACGTATGGGTAACTTTGTTTATTAAAATTAAAATACGGGTTTTACTTGGTAAAACACAAGCATGACTTACTAACCATTATGCTAGAGCCTTTTTTTGCCAAGTTATTTGGAATTTTGTTCAAAAAATTAGACTCACAACAAAGATTAAACTATTAGTAAAATAAATTAAGGAGCCAAGACCCAAGGGTCGTATCATCTCTTTAATTGTCCAGCACAAAATTGAGTTTTTATGAAAATATGCTACTCTTAATCAATCATGTACTGTTTTTTTAACTTAAAAAGAAATTGTAAGAAGGTTTTTTTTTTTTTTTTTTTTTTTTTTTTTTTTTTTTTTTGAGGTCTGTATTTTTAAATTTTAAGAACACCCTGTTTCAAAAAAAAAAAACTAAATAAATAAAATAAAAACACCACAAAATTAGTTAGCAAATTAAGTCTATCTCTATATATATCTAATAAGAAGTAGCACTAAGATCAAATAATCGATTAACTATAACTATTCGATTATTAATCTTCCAAAAATCAAGGAAAAAAAAAAGGCACTAAGATAAAACTCAAAAACCCTAAACAATTTGAACAATGATTACCAAGAGAACAAGATCAAAGAAGATGACCAGTAGTGGTGGAGTTGATAGATTAAGCTCTCTTCCTGATTGCATCCTCATCGATATCCTATCTCGTCTTCCAATCACCTCCGCGGCTGCCACCGCTGTTTTATCGTCTCGATGGCCTTATCTATGGCCTCAAATCACTTCTCTCAAACTCAGTAGCATACTTTTCAAAGGTGTGTACAATAGTGTTGAATGTTTTATTGCTATTACCAAAGTAATCAACAAGTTAACCTCTCCGATTATTCGTAGTTTTACTCTCCATCTTGATGACCCGTGTTTAGTCTATTTTCCCCTTGATTTATGGTTTCAACAAATCCATCATCGAAGAGTCGAAGACATCTGTTTTAGATTTGTTACTCGTGAAGTTGCACCATTGATGTTCCAAGTCTCCTCGTTTATGTTTCAAACTCCTTCATTGGTAACACTTGAACTAAACATTGGTATTATTTGCATTTTTCCTAAGCATATTTTCAATGATGATACTAAACCAAAATTCAATCTTCCTAATTTGAAGAAATTGAGTATTCAAGTATTGCCTTTCGAGTGTGAATTTTGGGGAAAACTAATCGAGTCTTGCCCATCACTCGAAGATTTGAGTTACATGGTTACTTCATCGCCTAATATTATTAATGCTAGTGTTATATTTCCCGACATAACATCGATATCAATATTAGGTCAAAATTTGTTGCGGTTGAATATAACTGTACTTCATGACCATAGGGAAAAAGTTGTAATCGATGCCCCTCGATTGGAATACTTGATGCTCAATATTGAATCCCTATTAGAATTTCGCTTTGCCAAGAAGCCGAATGCATTGTGTGAAGCAATGGTAAGTGTTGCTAGGAAACCGAGAATTCCACCCAATGGGAAGGATGTGATCACGAAGTTTCTTGGACTAATCTCTAATGTTAAGTCCCTCACATTTGATGTTCGTTCATACTCCTTAGAGACGCCGTTGTTGTTTCCTAATTTGACTCACTTACGATTCATGGGTTGTTATGGGCACGAGTTTAAGGTATTGTGGCCATTGCTCAAGTCATGTACAAAATTGGAGAATCTTTGTATTAGCATGAGTAGTGAAGTCTCTCACGGCGTTTTTTTGATTCCCCCAAAGGTTTCTCCATCGTGTTTATTGGATCATATCAAGAGGATTGAGATAAAGGTAGCTATGATATTTTACGACGAAGAAGAGAATTTATTGAAGGTATTAGAGTATTTTCTACTTAAAGGCTTAGTTTTGGAGCATCTCATATGTACCTTCACCAAAAAAATTGAATCCTCCGAAAGAAGTGATGTAAGAAGGGAGTTACTGTTTTGGAAAAAATTATCCAAGTGCGAAATAGGTTCATCTCGCCGGTGCCAAATCGTATTTTCAGGGTTACGTATTAAGTCGTCAATAATTAAGCATGGCAATTCATAAAGCAAAGAACTGGGCGCATGCTTCTTCATATCTCTATTGTTGCAAAAACATGGTTGTTCAGTAATTAATGGCTGTAATTAGCTTAATTATATACAAGTATTTATGCAATTTTTGTAAGTCGTACCAATAATCCTTCTAATAAGGCATATGATGTAAGATCAATTTGATTTTTGAAACGACTGCAATTGACCAATTCATTCTTTTATTTATTTTTTTCCCTTGTGTTTAATTTAGCTAGTTACTAAGAGTAGTTCCTTGTCCAAATATGTTGGATGTGTATTCACAAGAAAAAAAAAATTATTTTAAGTTTGTATTCACTACTCCGTAATATTTTTTTTATTATAATATTTTTCAGCAAATACAAGTTTATCTGCCATATAAACAATTTTTTGTTAATCTGGTGGCATTTCTGTAAATATATTGAAAAATGTTGGTTATTTATCGATTAGTATTTTTGGTGAGTTGTCCAATTACTGTTTGCAACTTGCTTTTACTGTTTGGTGAGGAAATTACACATGTACCCCTCAACTAGTACATGAAAAGACGCATGTATCCCTCAACTGATACTTAAAAAGACTATTATACCCCAGATATTTGTTTATCTGGGAATTAACTGGGCACAACTCAATATTTTTTAAGAAAAAAAGGGGGAAAAAAGTTTGCCACGATTTCGACAAATATACTTTTGGGATTACTCTAAGTATAAATTGATAATTTTAGTAATATACTTCCTCCGTTCTTTTTTACTTAACCCGCTTTGACTTTTACACTATTCACCTCTCCTCCTTTGACCGTGTTTTGTGAATAGTAAGTAAGGAAAACATAATTATGTTGGATCATTTTGAATTTATCTTAATAAGTACTATCATAATATATAACTTTTATATTTTTTAATTATGGAGAATTAAAGTTAATAATCGTTAAAGTTTTGCATTGACAAGAGTGATAAAAGAAACAGGTAAGTAAAAAAAAAACAAAGGAAGTACTATCTCCGTTTATTTTTGGTTGACACGTATTCCTTTTTAGGAAGTTTTGTTGTAGTTGACACGTTTCCTTTTGGGGACAATTTTTTATAGGGCTGGCAAAAGATGACCCGACCCGACAACCCGACCCGAACCCAACCCGAAATAAATGGGTTTTGATAGAGATTTTCAACCCGTTTATTTAATTGGGTCAACCCGAACCCGACCTGAAGTTAAATGGGTCGGGTTCAGGTTGAAAATCCCAACCCGAAACCAACCCGCATAAACCCGTTTATTTAATTGGGTCGGTTTCAGGTCGGGTCAACCCGAACCCAACCCTCTTAACTTAAAACCCTAATTTTAAAATATGGGCCAAGCCCAAATTATCTAACCCTAATTCCCTCTTTCTCTCGCCGCTTTCTTTCACTCAAACTCTCTCTCTTCTCAGTTTCTCTCTCTTCTTTCCTCTCTTTTCTCTCTCTAACTCTTGAAGATTGAAATAAAAATGCTTGAACCTTGAAGATTGAAGCTTCATCTCAAACATTCTGAAGGTAATAATCCTATTATTCGATTTTTTATGAGTTTGTTTGCTCATGAGTCATTTGTTTATGCAATTTCCTTGATTTGGTTATGCAATTTTCAGATTTCTTTGATTTTTTAATGCGATTTTTTGCTATTATGGTTTATGTATGCTTTGTTTATGTGATTTAATCATTTAATGTTGTTCGTTTGTTATTTTCTTACTCTGCAATTTCTTTCGAAGATTTGATTTGTTATTTACTTATTTTGCGATTATTTGCGATTTGTTTATGCGATTTTTTGCCCTGATTTGATTTTCTTACTCTGCAATTTCATGAGTTTGATTCTTTATGTCATGACTCATGAGTTTATACTTCTGTTTTTCATGTTTTATCTTTTATGCCATGAGTGTATTCTTTTTTTAATTTATTCACAGATGGCTAATAGCCCTAATCCTGATGAACCCATTGATCTTCCGGATTCTGATTCAGATGATGAAGTTTCTGATTCTCATCAAACGGAATCAAAGAAGAAAACCTCTAATGTCACCTCGCTGAATAAGCCTGGAATTCATTTCAAGCGCCAACGAAAGCTCACTTCAGATGTGTGGGCAAATTTTGAATTCCTTGATAAACCTGACGAACAAGGTAACATCATTTGCAAGTGTAAAAAATGTGGGCAGAAATATAATGCTGAAAGTAGGGAAGGAACTGGTAATTTAAAACGCCACATTAAGAAATGTAAAAAAAGGACCTTTAAAGATGTGGGTCAGATGATTATTGATTCAAGCAGTTCTGGTTCTATGATGAATAGGGTTCCTACAATTGATTATGATATTGTTCGTGAGATGTTGTCTATTGCTGTGGTGAAACATGATTTGCCTTTTCAGTTTGCTGAATATAGTGCTGTTAGGAAGTTGATTAATTACATAAATCCTGATGTTAAACTTGTGTCTCGGAATACTTTGAAGGCTGATGTTCTGAAAATGTTTAAGAGGGAAAAAGATAAACTTAAGGAGGAGTTGAGTGTAGTTAAGGGTAGGATTTCTCTTACATCTGATTTTTGGACTTCAATTACTACTGATGGTTACATGTCTTTGACTGCCCATTTTGTTGATAATCAATGGAATTTGCAAAAAAAAATTCTGAACTTTCGTTTTTTGCCTCCACCTCACACCGGTGTCCATATGTCTGACCATGTCTATGATTTTCTTAAAGAGTGGGGTATCCAAAAGAAAATCATGTGTATTACTCTTGATAATGCTTCCTCTAATGATGTGTTTGCTGATGTAATTAAAAATGAACTTGATTTGGTATGTGGGGGGGGGGGGATTATTTCCATGTGAGGTGTTGTGCACATATCCTAAATTTAATTGTGCAAGATGGGTTAAAAGAAATTAATGAGGCTGTTGTTAAGGTGAGAGAAACTGTGAAGTATTGTAAAGGGTCTCAGGCTAGAAAGCAACGTTTTTTGACTTGTGTGGCACATGTTGAACTAGACTCAAGTAAAGGATTGAGACAAGATGTCCCTACTAGATGGAATTCAACTTATTTGATGTTAGAGAATGTTTTGTACTACAAAAAAGCTTTTCTTCATTTTCAAAAGGTTGATGCCAATTACATTCATTGTCCAACAAATGAGGAGTGGGGGAGAATAGAGAAGTTATTTAGATTTTTGAAGGTCTTTTTTGATGTGACAAATGTTTTTTCGGGTACTAATTATCCTACCGCTAATGTATACTTCCCAAATGTGTTGAAAATCCGTTTACTCTTGAAAGAGGAGCTTGAAAATTCTGATAACTTCATGCATAAGATGGCAGCAAGAATGAATGAGAAATTTGCTAAATATTGGACCAACTTTAGCATAATCATGGTTGTGGCTGTTGTTTTAGACCCTCGATTTAAGTATGAGTTTGTGGAGTGGGCTTTTAAGAAGGTGTATGGGGAAATAGAGGGTACTAATGAGTTGGTGAAGTTCAAGGAAAGGTTGGATTATTTATATGGTGCTTATGTGACTGAGGCTTCCACAACAACACCACGAACAAGGCGCCGTTCTTCTAGACAGCCTAATGAAGAGCAAGTTGATGTTGCTTCTGATTCTTTTATGATGGTAACTGTGAACACTTGCTTTTTGTTTGATAATCAGCTTTAAATTCTGTTTTTTGTATGCTTTATTGTAATTTTTGTTTAAACATCTTTTAGGACTTTGATAACTTCTCTTCTAGCAAATCATATGTTGCTGCTAAATCTGACTTGCAAATCTACTTGGAAGAGCCATTGATTCCTCGTGCAACCAACATTAATATTCTATATCATTGGAAAACAAATGTTGTGAGGTATCCAATTCTTTCAAAGATGGCAAGGGACATCCTTGCAATCCCTATTTCAACAGTAGCTTCAGAATCTGCCTTCAGTACTGGTGGTCGAGTTTTGGACTGCTATAGAAGCTCTTTGAAACCAAACACAGCAGAAGCTATCATTTGCCTCAAAGATTGGACTTTTGGTGAAGGTATGAAAATAGTTTATGTATTTAAAATTACAATTTTTTTTGTTTCTTTTTTGTACTATTTTATTTATGCTTAAGGCTCAAATTAACTTTTGTATGTATTCTTTTGGTTGTAGCTAATATGGATCCGCAATTGCAAGATTTATGTGGAAAAATCATGGCCATGAAAGTCAACGATGATGTGGGGGATACTCCCAGCCCCAGCCCTCCACAAAGTGCACCAGAAAGTCCTGCTGTCATGGAGAGTCAAACCTGATTATGTTGTTAATTTCTTCTAAAATTAGTTGATGAAACTGTTACTGTTATTTTGGACATGTATTTGGTTTTCTAGTTGAACTTTTATTTGCCTACTTGGAAGTATTTTGGACATGTAACTCTTGGAAATATTTTGGACTTGTTGGCTAGCTACTTTTCAAGTTTTAGTTGTTGTTGTGAGTGTATGAAACTATGAAGTATGGACAATGCACTAATGCAGCAGGATTTTCTTGAATTATGTTGTTAAGTTATGTTTGCTTGAATTATGTGTTGAATTTGAAGTCTTGAATACTTGAATCTTACAGGTTAAAGAAATTAGTCAAATTACAGGTTAAAAAAATTACAGTATAAAGAAATTAGTAAATTACAGGTTTTTATTTTAATTTTTTTTAATTAAAAAAAAAATCAGATTTAGGCGGGTCGGGTTCAGGTCGACCCGTTTATAATCAGGTCGGGTTCAGGTTGGTTATTTTGACCTGTTTAAGTAAACAGGTCGGGTTCAGGTTGGGGGGTCCTGACCCGTTTATGTAAACAGGTCGACCTGAACCCGACCCGACTCGACCTGTTTGCCAGCCCTAATTTTTTACCTTGCATTTACAAGCTACCTCACTTACTTTTTCATTCTCTTTCACTCTCTCTTTTCTCCTTAATATGTATGTCTAAATCAAACGCGACAACTAAATAGAAACGGAGGAAATAATACACAATAGAAGATTCCGTTCAAAAAAAAAAAGTACTCCGTAGAAGATTATTCAATTTATTCTAGAACACTCCTCTATAATGGGCAATAAGTCTATTGTGCACCTTGGTCCATCTAGGATAGCTGGACCACAGGCGATTGTTCAGATTTTATTACCAAATGTTCAAAAGTATGGAAGTGGTGCGATGTACGAATTTTTGTACAAAATGGTCAAAATTTGCAATTGTTCAAATATTTTTACGAAATGTTTAAAAGTATAGGCATACATTGAGATTGTTCAGATATTTTTACTAAATGATCAAAATTTGCGAAGTTCAAATTTTTTTACTTAATGTTCAAATTTTGCAATTGTCCAGATTTTTTAGTAAATGTTCAAAAGTATAGTCGTGTTCATTGTGATTGTTAAGATATTTTTACTAAATAATTTGCGATGTTCGGATTTTTTTACTAAATGTTCAAAATTTGCAATTGTTCAAATCTTTTTACTGAATGTCAAAAGTATAAGCGTGGTACATTGCGATTGTTAAGATATTTATTTTCAAAAATTTTGATGTTCAGATTTTTTTTTTAAAATGTTCAAAATTTTCAATTGTTCAGATTTTGTTACTAAATGTTCAAAAGTATCAGGTAATCGATCATAATAGATACGAATTGATTAATGAGAACAGTAAAAATAATCAGGTAATCGATTACGAATTGAGATCAATCAAATTAGCTTTCACAAATTCAATTGATATTAAAACAATTATTTCATCCACAAATTCATCTCAAAATCAAAAATTAAATTAATATTGATCACAATGAGTTCATAATAACAAACTTGGATTGGTATCTTTGGGAATTTAAAATTGTTCCATCACGTTAAATGCAGAAATTTAATGGAAAAAAAATCAAAGAACAAAGGAGAGAGAAAACAAGAATTTGAAAAAAAAAGAATGAAGTAAATTTAATAAAGAAATAAAAAGAGATTAGATTTAAAAAAAAAAAAAGAGAGAGAGAGAGAGAGATAGTGTGTTTCTGAAAAGGAAACAAAATTTTGTAAAGATGGTGGGAAGAAGAAGAGAATGAAGTTGTATTTCATTTATATAAGGTTGTGTTTTAATTTTTTATTTTTTTGGGTTAATTGCAAGTAAATACGCGGCCCAAGCCAATGTTTTGGTGAAACCCAAGCTTTCTTTTTTTTTCTAACGAACCTTCAATTACATTTAATAATTATCACTTCATATATAAACCCGTGTCTAATCCTCTCTCACACCCCAAACAAAAACAAAAAAAAAAATAATGGCTAGATTGAGGATGATGAACAACAATGGCGGAGAGGACAGACTGAGTTCTCTTCCCGATCCCATTCTCATCGATATTCTCAGCCGTCTCCCTACCAACACCGCGGCTACCACTGCTATTTTATCCCCTCGATGGCATTATCTATGGACACATATCACTTCTATCGACATCAATTGCCGCAAATTCACTACCAGCATCGATAAGTTCGCAGATATCGACAAAGTCTTCCAAAGGTTAGCGTCTCCCTTAATCAATTCTTTTACTCTCCGTGGTTGTGACCGGTCTCGTGGGAGTGAATGGTTAAGCGATTTGTCTAAACACGTGAATTCTTGGCTTCATCAAATTTGTGATAGTAAAGTACAAAAAATCTGCATAAAAGTTATAGAGCGTGATTTTAAGTTGATGAACACTGTAACGCCTTCAATTATTTTCCAAACTCCTGCGTTGGTTGTACTTGAACTCGTCTCCGAGTTGTCTTGCTTTGTGCCTGATCATGCTATTAAAGATGATACAACCACGACCAATTTCAACCTTCCGAAACTAAAGAAGTTGAGTGTGACCGTGTTGCTGTTTCATTGTAACTTTTGGGGAAGACTAATTAAGTCTTGTCCGTCACTTGAAAATTTGTCCATGGTTATTTGTCACATTCGTCAGCCTAGAAAAATTATCGCGGATATTAATATATCCGCGAAAAATTTGGAGCGGTTAAATTTAGAGTTGATTGGATGCAAACTTTTAGCCAAAGTTACAATTGATGCACCAAGTTTAAAATACTTGAGTGTAAGTGACTCAAATCCAAGTTTGACATTGTTACCTGAGTCTAATGTGATGATCTTGAACATCAATAAATTTCTTGGATCAATTTCTCATGTGAGCTCCCTTACACTTGATTTAATCGCATTCACCTTTTCGACTCGATTTTACCCAAATTTGAGCTATCTTAGATTGAATACACATTTTACTAACAATGAGTATAAGATGCTCTTGGTATTGTTTCGATTATGTCCAAATTTGGAAGTACTTGTCTTGAGTAGTACGAGCTGACGTAATGTTGGCTTGATCTCTTCATCAAATGATTTCGCGGCACCTTTGCTTTTATTGACAAGATTTAAGAGAGTTGAGGTAGAGGTGAATTCGACTGATTACAATGAAGAGAATATATTGGATGCCATTAAGTACTTTTTGTGTTGCACACCATACTTGGAGCGGCTCGTTTGTGTGTTTACTAAAAATGTGAGAACGGTATTGTATGATCGAAGTACGGAGTTATCGTTTTGGGAAAAACTATCCAAGTGTAGAAGAAGCTCACCACGGTGCCAAATCGAATTTTCGGGCTTATATATCAAGGTGTCTACCACTGCCGCGGCAATTAGAGGTAATGCTTCCTAATGGAAGTATCACATGAATCATGAATGTGTGATTATGCGTATTTTCTGTTAATTTATATTGATTTCATAGTCATCTTAAAATTCTCATTGATGGAAATTAGCTTGTTTTTAGGAGATATCAATTCAATAGTATTTGCCTGTTTCTGTTATACATTGCTAGTTGAATTGATTTTTATTGTTGAGCATTGTTTGACTAATTAATTAAATTCGTAATTTGAAAGGAGATAATAACAAAGTCATAAATATACTTTTCAATTGTTTCAAAAAAATAAAATAAAAATAAATATACTTTTCAACTCTTGATAAGATTGAATCAGTTTTATGATTAAAACTGATTTTTAATGTTTAAAATGTTTTTTTTTTCTTATTTAGAGGGAAATTAGAAGCTGAACTGAACTGAAATTAAGTAAATGTGAACAGGCTCTAAGATTGATTTTTGCTGATTAAAATAATAATTTAATTTGGTTATTGGACGGGTTAGGCCAGGATCGATGTGACTCTCCCTTAAATGGATCAATATGGGAAAAAAATAATGATAAAAGAGATGGACAAAAGTGAGCCCAATAATGTTTGTTAGGGCTTATACTTTCATTTATTGCCATCCTCCTAAACCTTGATTAAACCCTATTGAAACCTCTTGAAAATCCTAATAAACTCACATGAATCATAATATGGATGAAGTAAATATCCTCATCAACAAAAACAATGGTGGTAAAAAGGACAGATTAAGCTCTCTCCCGGACGCTCTATTGATCGAAATTTTATCCCTTCTCCCTATCCATTCTGCCGTTGCTACCTCGATCTTGTCCCGTCCTTGGCGATCCCTTTCGACCGAGCTTCGTAACTTTAGTCGTAACCTTATCATCGACATAAATAGCGGTGAAAAAAACTTTGAAAAATTTATATCCTCTTTCGATCACATCCTCAATCAATTCACCTCCCCGCGTATCCAAACCTCAAAACTACATTTGAAACATTTCGATAATAACCACTATTTGGAAGATGATCTATTCGTAAAACTGTTAAAGTTTGTGTATTCAAGTCTTCCTCAAATTTCCGCCTTAAATCTTGTAAGTTTAGATATAAGCTTTTCTGATTTTGCCTGGTTTAGCATACATATACCAAGTTATGTTTTCGAAATCAAATCACTCGTAAACCTCGAATTAGATGGATGTTATTATTGTAGATATCTTAAAAATGGTATTGTTAATCTTCCTAATTTGAAGAGGTTTAAACTAGGTATTTATCGGTTGGTCAACCTTGAATCATTGAAGGCAATTCTTAAGTATTGTTCTTTATTGGAGACTTTGATCTTGACATTCGATTTGTCCAAGGATCAAAATAACATAGATGACGACTACATAATAGATATTTCAGCTCCAAATTTGAAAGCTTTGGTGATTAATAGTACATATGTCTCGTCGTTTTTGATAAAAAAATTTGTGATTGATACACCCTTGTTGGAAGAGATTGAGATTAAAGATTGTATTGCATCTTATTGTTTCGTCGAGACTCTGAGTTATTTGAAAAGGGCATCTATTGTGTTTAGGGATTCTATCGATAGGAATTGTAGATTCAAGCAAGGAAATGCTCTTTATACCTTAATACCTGTTCTTTTTCGAGGGATGTCGAATGCTAACTACTTTAAACTAAAGGGTGGTCTTGCTATCTACAATAATGCCCTTTTTCCCGTGGATGCAAATGTTTGGTCACTCTTTCGTAATCTAACTCATCTTCGATTGTCTTTATCTAAGACTGTTATCAATTGGGGATCCGCAATACCATTATGTTTGTTACCGAAACTCAAGAAGATAGACTTGTTGAAAATCAATATTATTGGAGGCTACAATGATGCCAATTTGGTTCAAGTCATTCTAAGCAATGCACATGTTTTGGAGAAGCTTTACATTTCTTGCATTGCTAGTAAGAATTCTAACCTTGGCGATTACAAAAAAAAACCAATTACGGAAGGAATATGACTTCTGTGGTATATTGTTCAGCCTTCCAAGGAGTTGTTTAACTTGCGAGATTGAGTTTAATGGAATTTATATTCGTGCATCATCAAGTAATGTAGGTACGGAGTACTTCTATAAATGACTGGGTTGGATACCACAAGTGCTTTGCTGAAGACGACCAATTTTTCAAATAAATAATAATGTAATGCCTTAGTTTTTTCTTTAGACTCATTAAGAACAATATGAGGCAATAAAGAAGATTTGATGTCACAATCCATCCTACTATTGGTTACTTTTGCCCCTAATTTTTATATGTAGTCTTTTTATATTTATAGTAAACTCTGTCTTAGTTTTCTATTATAATCCCTCCAAAATAAAATTCAAAGGTTAGGTAGACTTTTTTGTATCCAACAACCAATTCAACTTCTTTCTTATTTGAGAGAGTTTAAAATAAAAAATCTCACTCAAAAATCCAAACAAAAATGGCTGAAACACTCTCAAATTATGAAGAAGACAGATTAAGCTCACTTCCAGACACTCTTTTGGTCGATATTCTTTCATTCATCCCATTCAAATCCGCAGTTGCCACCTCTATCTTATCTCGCCGATGGTGTTACCTCTGGACACAGCTACAACTCCCTCACCTCTTTTTAGACTGGCCATGGCCGCGTGCCTCTGACTCCGATCACTCTGAAAAATTCTTCCAATTCATCAACACGGTTGATAATATTTTCAACCGGATCACCTCCCCACTTATCAAAACCTTCCATCTACATATCCCTTACCCACAAACTGCGAAGAATGATGAATTTGAAGTGTGTTCTGCTTATTTGAAATCCTGGATTCGTCGTGTTTGTGTCCTTAAAGTGGCTAAGATCAAGGTAAGTTGCGACTTTCCTTACTATCTTGGACCTCATGTTCGTTTTCCGTCTTGTGTATTTGACGTTGAATCACTAGTAGAACTTGAATTGGGTGGAAATTTATGCTGTGAATTGCCAGAAACTGAAATTGTTAGTCTTCCAAATTTGAAGAAGCTTGTGTTAATTGACCTGCCAACCAACAATAGATCAGTGTTTGAAACTTTGTTTAAGTCTTGCCCTTTGTTGGAAATGTTGTCTTTGGAAATAGATGAAGATTCCGCTAACTCAGAATATCTGACAATATCAGCTCAGAATCTGAAGTCCTTGATTATCAGGGGAAAATCGCGGCATTTTGTGTTTACCATTAAAGCACCATTGCTCCAACACATTGAGATTCGCGGCTTTCTTGGTCTGTATAGGTTTGATCAGTATCCAAGCAGATTGGTCAGGGCAGATCTTGACATTTCGAACTTTAGCTATAGTAGGATTGATTTTATAAGATATATACCAAAACTTGTTCAGGGGATTTCTAGTGTTGAATCTCTTAACCTGTTAAATGGTCTTTCTGTGTTCAATGCGCTTGATAGCTTGGATTTTGATGTTGGGTCAGTCTTTCATAATCTTGTCCATCTTACCTTAGATTTGTCTAAGAATGAAAAGGATTGGGGTGATCGAAATCCAATACCAATATGCTTGTTAAGTCGGCTTAAGAAGATAAAATTATTGAATACTCAGGGTAATGCCAATGATGTGAAGTTGCTTGAGTACATTCTAAGTAATGCAACTGTTTTGGACCGGCTTTATATTTCCTCCGTTCATGATGGTTATGGCGATGATGATGGTGAAAGAGGTCAAGTATGGAGGGAGTATAAATTGTCTAGAACAATGTTATTGGTTCCAAGGAATACCAAAATAACCATAAATGTTGAGGATCCTCTGTTTGGTCAGACACCTACTGACAGTCCATAATCTGCAAGGCATGAATGATTTTGACATGTAAGAATTGAAGTGGCTCCTGTTTCTGAACTTCAAGTTTCACTACGTATCGTTTTTCTTTGCAAAAGACAGGTTATACCAAATACGCCTCAGTACTGCTTGTTGAGAAGCTTAAAATTAGATGCAGAATATGATTGCCACACAGGCACTTAAGACCTGATTTTTATTTGTGCTTCAAGAATGTAAAATTGATACACTTAATTTTTTATTGTAGCATTAATTTATTTTCTTTAAAGAGACAAATTACATGTTTACTAATTGTGGAATATGCTTTTACACCTAGATCTTTCAAGTCTGCATAAAAAATAGGAGTCAAATTTAGAGTTTTGCATATAATATAGGAGTCAAATTTGGAGTTCTGCATATAATATAGGAGTCAAATTGTCTGTTGGGAAAGCTTTCAGACTTGTCATCCTGAAGCTGTTTTGCTTAAATATAAATCTCCACAAAATGAATTTTACAGGTTCTAGATTTTAATCGAAAAGCAGGTGAATTTTGTCTGAGTTTTGATTGCTTAGTAAGTGTCAGAATCAATTTTCTATGCCCCCTGTGTAATACAAGTATATTCGAGTATTATATTATCGTGTCTGATTGTTTCTGTTCTGGAGGTGTAGTATAGAGTACTGAAATTAGCTACACATACGAATATCAGTTAACTAAACGTGACCTTCTAATGGAATCAGAAATATCTGTTATTCTCAAAACAAATTAGGAATCTGTTACAAAAGTCTGATTCAGATATAAGCTACACAGTTCAACAAAAGACTACAAATCAATAATAAAAGGTAAAAAGTTATATAATCAGATTAAGCCCTGCCTAATAATAATAATAATAATAGTGTTGGTCATCTTAGTGTAGATGGATGTTACTGCCTGCATCTTCATAAACCTCGTCTGATACAGGACACCACTAGAACATTTCCTGTCTCGGTCGAATATCTTCCCACAGCTTTTCTGCCTCATCAATCTCAGTAATCTCATAAAAGATCTGAGAGTTAGGTATTCCTAGGCAATGCATACCATGTTCATGACGCTCTTCACGGAAGTGCCTCTCGAAAGCAATCTGCCCCTTGTAGGTGTAATTCCCACATATCTGACACTCGAATTCTTGGTCAAGTCCATCCCAACCCAGCACCAAGTTATCAACCTTTTCGACATCCTTTTCTCCCTCGATCTCATAATCAGCCTTGCAGTCATAAGTTATTTCGTTAGCAGTCATCATTAGCCTGTTCTCAACATCTTGTCGAGTTTGCTCAATAGTCTCTTCTAGAATCCCACACAACTTCTTGACATTGGCCTCGACGAGTCCTGTCACTTTATAATCAGACTGTTGTACATCTTCTTCTCTTCCCGTCTTTAAGCACTTTCGATTCAGCCTATCTTCAGGGGTGTTCTTGACCAATAACAGCCTCGCCGCTTTCTGTAAGACAGTATCCTCAGAATTGAGTCCCAAGACATCCAAACCCTCTTTAAGCTTCTCCGGTCCCAACTCAATCAAACTCTCCAATGTATTACACTCATCAACTTCGTCGATTGCCATCATCCTAGACCGCTTCTTACCCCTACTACCCCCCTTCCATTGTCCATCGAACACCCTGTCAATGAACTTCACGGGTTCCGATCGCTCCAAGAATGACTCATCAACAACAGAAAATGTATCAACACAATCAAGAGGACACCCAAATTCATACCCTTGAACACTCCCTAAGGGAATTTCGTACAGCTCACTATCTCGAACAAAATTCGAAGCCGCCGTCGGGTTAAGGCGCTTGTACTCGTGTGTCTCCTGCTTAGAAATGTCATCGAACTCCTTAAACACCTTACTAATTATCTCACATACTTTACGGACTTCCATCGCTAAACTTTAAAATTAAACTAACCCTATTAGAAGACTTTCTTTAAGATTTTTTTTTCTTATTGTTAAAGGAATTTTTTTTGACAAAATTGTTGAAGGAATTTGATTTGCATATAAACACTAAATGTTGAGGGATATTTATAATTGATGAATGAAATTAAGTCGGTTCATTTGATGATTATTAGGCGGTGTAATCTTTATATGCTTGAGGGTCAAGTTCCCGGATTGTAAATTGATTTTTTCTTGCACCCCAAGTCCCCAATCTTGTTAATTAGCCTTTGTTTTTTAGGAAAGTTTTACTTCACGTTTATTTTAGGAAAGTTCAACTAAACTTTTTTATTTAACATAAAACCTTTTTTAAGGAAAGTTTTATTAACTTTTTTTTTTTGTTTTTTTTTTTTTTTGAAAGCCAAGTTTTTTTTTTTTTTTTTTTTTAATAATAGAACCGAAGTTTTATTTAACCTTATAACTAGGGTTCTATTAAAACAAAAATAAATAAATTGTAAAATAGAGTTTGTAAGTTTAATCAAAATTCAAACCATTTGTATGATTATAAGTTTATAACTTTTATAATGAGTTGAGTATTAAGAGCTTATTCGATTCAACTTAATTTCAGTTCAGTATAGTTCAACTCCAATTATTTTAGTTCTGATCCTAATTTTCTTCTCTCATAAACAAATCATTTTAGCTCTATCAATTACGGAGTAATTCAGTTTAGTTGTTTTCAGTGACTCAGGACAGGCCATAAGTAGTTAGTTTTGACATAATTAGATTTGTATCAAAAAATACAGTACAAGTAGACCTACATATGATATTGTTTGGTTAGATTTCATCTAAATGTCGTCCCAAAATCAATACCAGATTAAAACATGTAAATTTTTACTTCGTATTTTAAAAAATGAATGAGTATATTCCGGAAAAGGTAACAAAGTTATACAACAATTGCCTCTATAGCAATAGTGACTTGTCCGAGGATGACAATAGAACAAACTTCTGTCTGGCAGCTAATAGCATAGACATCGACAACCACAGTCCACAGTGCATAAATTTAGTGTACCGAAGGCACAAGGCAGGGTATAATAATAAAAGTTGTATATAAAGCACAGCATTTGCGAAGTAGATATATACTGCAACTTAAATATCATCAAATTCATAATTCGGATTCAAGATAAAAACAAACTGTATCATGATTTATACAATTTTGAAAACATATTACGAAGTACTAAATTTGTAGATACAATTCTGAAGGCAATTGCATCTATAACAGTCTGAAAACACTCAAGGCGGATGCTGAGATGAGTCTGAAAACTTGAATGTGCAGATTGGGGAGCATATACATTTTTATCGTCGATAACCATACCGCTTGAAGTTAAAATACAAACGTAATATGCCTTGTTCAAATGTACATTTGAAACCCTTTTTGCAGGAAAGCTCCCATTCTTTAAGCACAATGCGGAACGCTAGGTCTTCATAAGGAGGCCCGGCTTGAAATCTAAGAATACATGTCTCAGTAGAGTCCCCGTCTTTCTCAACAAGTGCTTTGGGAACCTTAGAACTGTCAATAAGGTGTGGGTAGAATACATTGAATTTGTACCCTTGAACAAACTTGGGAGGAGGGTTATCACGGCTGTAATGTGTCCGGTTATACTTGTTCCATTCATAACTTGTATGAAAATAATTGAAATACTTGGGCTTTCTTGGGCGATACATGTCATGCCAATCATACACCTGTGAATCCAGGTTCACTACAGCATCGGAACCCAAAACCACGTCACCTTCCTCCATGGCTCCCATACTTTCTTTCTTTGCCATGACCTCAAAGTCACCCTCCTCTGGCTTTGAACGCGGTTCTAAAGCCATTCCTGCTTCTTTCAACCACCTTTTCTGTTCAACCAAAACACCCAAGCGCTTCTCCAAAACTGCCCTATCCTCATCAGGATCAATTGCTTCCTCATTATCTTCACCATGTAAGAGCCGAGGGGAATATGGACCATCCCGAGCATCTTCAACTTCCTCCTCGGTTCCCTCCACAGATTTAGTGTTTTCCTCTTGGAGAGCCTGCTGTACTTCAAGGTGGTGCAAATTTCTACTCATATGAATTTCATCAAGACAAGCCTTAGCCTTGTAAAAGTGAAGCTGTTTAAGGACAGCTTCCCAATACTCAACCACCTTTGCTCTTCCAGTAAGCATCAATGACTCGATTTGTTCTAATAGTGCTACCAAATCTTTGTAACTCTTGCCTTCCAAGTAGTTTATGACATCTTTTTCAACACTCGTATGCATACCATGGAGTCTAACTCGATGATCAATTTCCTCTTTTTTCCTGATTTCAGCCAACTCCCACTCACAAACCACCATCAGTGCCTCCCAATACTCCGCATGAGTTGACGACATGGGCGCCCTGTCAAGATCAAGATGCAGTTTAATATCATCAATTAGCTCCTGAAATTCTTTAACAGTACTTGAGCCCTTGAAAACCATGTAAGGCGGCTCATACAACTCCTTGACATCGAATTTATCAGATTCATCAAGATACACAATAAGAATATCAATTGGCTTTGCTCTCCCTTCGCGCAGCCGGACCCTAGACCTTATTTTATACTGTTCTAAAAGAAACTCTCTTTCTTTCATCTCCAAGTTACCAGATTCAGCCCTATCTCTTTCTCTCTGCAACATCATTAATTCCTCGTCTCTCCGCGCCTTCTCCTCCACTCTCTCTTCTCTCCTCTTCTGCATCTTCTTAAACTCAGCCATCAGTTCCTTCTGCCTCTTCTTCTCAGCCTTAACGGTGAGGTCATCCATTGTCGCCTTAAAACCCCGCACCATCACATCTCTCTCGATCTTCTTCCACACAAATTGCTCATTGGTTATCTGATTCTTGAACTTCTTCGCCACACTCACAGCCTTTCTCTGCGCCTTCTTCGCGAGGTACTCCTTAACCTCTTCCTCCGAAATATTCCTCTTTCTTTTCCTGCTGTAGCCAGCCTCTTCAAAGGATTCTGACATATCATAGTCAGAATTGTCCTTGAATTGCCAGCGTCCTCTTCTACGACTGCTCCTGCTGCTCTCATGACTCAACATGTTTTTGGCTGGTCAGGGATTTGGGTAAGGGAAGAGAATTGATCGTGGAGGAGGTACTAACTTCTATTTGGTAAAATACATTAAGCAGCGGATTATTTATATATAATTGAAGGGCAAGTACTGGATTATCCCTTTACCCAAAAAAAAAAAAAAAAAAAAAGAATTATCCCTATACTTGATGGCCAAGTAAATCTAACAGGTCATGGACAAAATTGTTGTCTTTCCTATACTAAAATTAAAATCTATGTGTAAGAAAGTAATCCTATTATCCTTAGGAACTTATTTCATGATTTATTAATTTATTTTATTAAAAAAAAAAAAAAAAAAAAACACTTAATGAATCAATTACTTATAACCCAAACTGGTTAAAAGTTCCCGTATATTATTTGATCTACTAATATTATTGATTGTAAATCTAGTGTGCAAAAAATGTACCAAAAATATCTTGAGTGAAGTTAATTGTGAGCATAAATTGAAATTCATCTTGTAGTTAACCTGTAAGCATAATATATGAATGATAATACAGTCAAAACCACTCAATATCTTGCATATTAGCACAGTGCAGATTCCGCATCTCAACATTGAAATTGAACTACTCCTAAGAGATGTATAATAGATTTGTTCGACTAAAAACTAAAAAGTCATTCTAATAATACAGAATACTGACTAACCAGACAAAGCAATCTGTCTGAGGCTCGAAAAATCTGTCTTGAATTCCTGGTGACCTGCTTTCCTTCTTAGCACCAAGAGTTTAAAAGCCAGTCCAACGTTACATTGTACAGATTAACCAGACAAAGCAACACGTCTGAAAACTGCTTGAAAAGTCTGTCCCCCATTTCTGGCGACCTTCTGCCCTTCCTCGGTAGCAGATACCAGGAGCTTAACGACAGGATCGGCTTCAAGCTCTTCGTCTGTAATACCCTCAAATATGGGATGATTCTCAAGGCATGTTCTCATCCAGACCCCCAGCTCCTCAACATCTGTGATAGTGTAGATGATCCCTCCTTCCCGGAGTACATAAGCATATTCATCCAACAAGAATGGGCTGATTACTCTACGACGGTGATTCTTCTCTTTAAAGTGTGGATCAGGAAACAAGAAAAACATTTTTGATAGTTGACCCTTCTCAAAATAGTTTGGAATGTATGGAGTTGGTCCTTACCACAGAGACATTCTGGTATTGACCAGGATTTGTTGTCCTCAAGCCCAAAATCCGTTCCTTAACATACTCTGTCACCTTATCCCTAATTTCCATTCCAATCATTAGCTTTTCAGGGAATAGAGTTGAAAGGCTGATACAAAGCCCTCCAAAACCACAACCTACATCAGCAAATTCAATCCTCCTTGCATCTCCAGATCGGTCTGGGGAAGGAAAAATTTGAGGAAAATGAAGTGAATAGTCAACATGTTGAGGTGAAAGTGGAACAGGGAAGTGAGAATCACTTAACGGATTACTATGGGCCCGGGCTCGGTAAAATCTCTTCCGAGGCAAACCTGTTGACTTATTAAAAGTTGGGTTTCCCTTGTTCTCCAACATGCTTCTTGCCTTCTTACCCAGGATGACTGGCTGGTGCAAACTTGAAGCTTCAATAGGTCTGCTCAAAGTAACACCCAAAAAAGAGTTAGAAGGAAAGCAGACAGAGAACCCATGATATCATTCACCTGCTTTTCAAAAATAACATGACAGAAGAAGGCCGCTACACAGGAAATGGTCCAATTGAAAACTCTAAAACAAAATATATGCAGAAATTTCACTCATCAAGAGAAATAATAGTGAGAAGAAGAAACGACAACTATGAGCAAATGAAACCATGGCTCTCAAAATTATGTTTGCTAGCTTGCAAATAGCAATATCAGTAGATGTAAACGTCTAGAAGACAGTTTGTTGTATAATGACTATTAAACATGAGCCAAGGTCAACACTGTTTTCATCAATTTCTTATTAGAAAACCTACCCTTCTTATTAAACTCCAGGAATCAAAAGCAAAATGACATCTTTGAAGTTTGAACTTCAGTTCACTTCATAAGTAAAGCAATATTTATCATCCAAACATAATACACCTTATGCTTTTATCAGGGGAAAGTAACTACATGCTCTGTTTTTTTTTTTTTTTTTTTTTTTTTTTTTTTTTTGGGGACGGGATACATATTCTGTTGAAATTTGAAAACATATACCATGCAACCACATCACAAGGGCAACAGCGTTATCATGGCTTCATCAAGAACCAGAGGCCTATCCATAATATAAAACTAACTCACCATAAATCCACCCCCACCCCTCAATTGCTTAAAAAAGGAATACAATAAAACACATCTACAAATTGATGAAATTGTAGGCCTTTCTGCCTAGACTTGTGTATGTGAGTGATTTAATCATAGCCAGAACAATTTAAAGCTATCCTATAACTCAGAAAAAAGTTTTCCTCTCAACTTGATTTACATGATATGTATGGAAATGCTTTGATATTTCCTTAACATCAAAGTAAATTCTTGGCCACGAGGTACCCTCCTCTCTGGACTATCATATTAAGCTCATACCAGATATTGTTATTGGGACCCCACCCCTCCCCCCAAAACAGCCTGACTTCTATCAAAGGCTAGCTGGAAAGTCATTCACATAACACTGACTAAGCCTCCGTAACATAACCTATATAGTTCATGTCCTTCATGCACAAGCCTTCAATCGTGCACTTACAGGCCCACAAAGAGTCTTACTAAGGTGCTCTCTACTAGTACTCAGCAACAAGCCAATAAACCCAAGATACTTTTCAATCTGGGAGCATTTTCAGTCACTCACCTCCATCAAAGTTTGAGGGAAAGTATTGGGGAATAAAGGTCTCTTTGGCCAACGTTACACTATGTTTGGAGGGGAAGATATGGACGGAATGGGAAGGAGAGGTGAGGATATCTTTTTCCTGTGTTTGGATACAACGTTAAGGGATGGAAGAGGAAAAGAATTGGAGAGATTTATATTCCTTCCCCATTAAACCAATCTCTCCAGATAAGAAAGTTTTGATTGGGAAATGAAATGCTAACCAAACAAAGTGTTAGTGTTATTTCCTTTGTGCAATTTTGTTTATTTCCCACTATAATATCTGTTATAGTGTTATGATATTTAATCATTTCTAAGCAAGATAGTTAGAGTCAATGTAAGACATGATATCATTAGGGCTGTAAAAGCTATGTTCTGTAAGCTCACAAAAGGGAGTTATTGCCTTTGTAAAAATCAAGCCTATTGAATGAAATCTAAGAGGAAATTTCCTTAATTAGTTGTCACGTCATTTCTAACTAACCAAGTCATAATATTTTGCTTCAATTACATTCCTAGGAAACAGAAAGAAAGATTTCTATCTATTTTATCAAATGGCTTTTTGTAAGGATGATAATGATTTAGTAAATGAAGATGGCTGGAAATTATGCAGATCTTACCTTTAAGGCTTTAACCTAACCCCATTTAACATATCCATAAGTAGAACTTTCAGAACCCCACAAATCATACTTAATAATGTATTAAGGGAAAATAAGCAATTACCTGTTCAAAATTTTTCACTACAATAAGTTGGAACATAAGTAAATTAAGCACAAATGTACAATATAACTCTCGAGCAGGCCATACCCGGCAGGGGACGGCTGCCCTGGACACAGGCCCAATATCATGGCTTTCCATCCCAACATGAAAAGTTATAAACAAAAGCCTGTGGATTTAGGCAGTATGGTTGAAGTGTTTCAATGGTATTGCAGCCCTATTAATCATCAAGCTTCTTAAAGGGGTTCACTAGGGGTGCTAAACACTGCCAAGCCGGAATAGTGTTAGGCTCAACAGGTTCAAACCCAGGGTTGGCTAAGGCTCCAATAGCCTCAAATAGGCTCGAATAATGCAACACATTAGCAACCAAATTTGACTCAATCATCAATTGAGGCTCAGAAAAACACATAAATTCTGGTGGCTTAAGAATATCAGAGTAAATTGCAAATAACAAAATTGCTCATTATAATCGTTCATAAATTCAGTGCTTATCCCCAATAGTTCAATAACCCACCTTAGAAAAAACCCTAAATTGACTATGCTAGCAATTAAATAAAAGACAGTGAAATTAAGCCCTAAATTGTGAAGTTGATAAACGATGTTAAAGAAAGGAAAAAACAGCTTACCTCAGAACTCAAAAGCTGCTTCAATGGAGGAGAGAGTAGAGCTCAAAATCCACTTCAATGGGAAGTCAGAGTACGCTTCAATGGAGGAAAGAGAGGGGATGCAGTGTAAAAGTGAAAAACAAGAGATAAGAAATTAAAATATAGGAAGAAAAGTAATGACCCTATAATCTTAACCGCCGGATCTAATAATCAACGGTCATAGTACATTCTTTTCTTTTTTTTCTTTTTTTTTTTTTTTTTTGATCTATGGCCCTATTCTTTTGATCTTGTGGCACAATTGGAGAGCAGAACAGAGTTCAATAGATCAAGTAGAGCAGGTTAGGCTTTCACAAGTAGAGCAGGTTAGGCTTTCACACACTGCATAACAGAGAAAGGCATAACATAGCAGATTTCGACAGGGCATAGCAATGCAAAGCATGTCAGAACAGAGCAGAGCAGATCCGCACAAACAAATCTCAAACAACCACGAGTATCCCATCTTAGCACAAAGTGAGCTATCATGTATTCGTGTTACTCATCTTCAATTACGAGAAGAAATAAAGGCATTAAAATAAAAACTAAGGGATAACATTCTAATTGCTAATATCATCATAATTAACCAAATTGACAAGCGACCCCTGAAATTGTTCTCCGTATTTTTTATTTTTTCTATGAGTTGGCAAGGAAAATAGTTGTATTGGGTCGAAACCTCTCACGGAGTCACAGGTCCTATATAGTATATACCGTGAAAAAATAAGGTGAGCGTGAATCCCTTTATTAATTTCATATTTTCATTCTGTTTCCCCCGATTGAACCAAACGCCCCCACTTAATCATTTTAATTTCCCCCTCATTTGTTTGCTGGCAATACGTTTCCTTCATTGAAGCAGTAATCTTTGCTCTCATTGTAGCGGCTTCTGAGCTATTGAAGCAGCTTCTCAGCTCTGAGGTAAGATGCTTTTTTTTCATTTATTTAGTCACCGAATATCAATTTCACACTATAGTTAATTTAATTATTGTCAGTATAATCAATTTAGGGTTCTTCTAAAGCTGGATTATTGAATCCCTTGTTATAATTACTCAACTTATGGAAGATTATTTATGTCCAGTGATTTTGTTGCTAAAATATTTCTATGTGCACTCTATTCAGATGGGAAATTATTACTTGAATGTGAATTTTAGGAGCGTAATTTTATAATTGAGTCAGATGCGATTGCTAAGATGTTCAGTTTTCGTGCTTAATCGAGTCCATAATCAGAGCCTTCTAGTGGAGGCTCGTCCTATTCCTATTCGGGTTTGGCTCGAAGGTTTAGCACCCCTAATGATCCCTCTTAAGAAGTTGATGCCCTTAACAAGGTTTCAATACCATTACCATTAATGTTAGGATGGAACTATGACACGGGCCTCAATACCGTTAATTTTATGCATGATTGCTGTAATAACATTGTTGTGGAATGTATGAAACAGGCATTTGTTAAATTATAATATGGAATGAGCTATATGATGCTGATTTCATCACATTTGTCCAAGATTCTGGAAGGCATGCCTAGTCACTATGTTTGGTAGGTATGGATACTTTATATACGCGTTTACAAGGCATTATAGTTGGTACAGATGATTTGGAGGGTGTATCATCGGTTAATTTTACTTGTTGCTTCAAACATTACGAAGTCTGCAGCAGTAGTCCACAATGTACATATCTGTAAATCTTTCTGTGGAACTTATTGGGAAACTAATGTGTGCAGTAGACAATTTAATGTTGCGCGTGTCAGGCGTTTCTGTACTAGAACTGAGCAAGATGAGCTGTGTTGGGAAGGTCCTAACCATGATATTATGTTGAAAAAGCTTGAAAGTGCATTGTTGGATTGCAAAGATTTTGAGGCATGGCCAGTCTTTAGCAAGTTTAAGAGTTTGTATGGTTTTCCTCCACCTGCTATTTTGAGTAAGCTGATCTATGGACTGTCTTACTCATCTGATCACCGCTCACTTCCTAAAGCATGCAACTTAATATTTAAAGTTGCAAAAGAAAATTCTGAATCACTTGAGCATGATTGCTTGTCAAGGCTTTGCCTTTCGCTTGTAAGAGCTCAGATGCCTGTACTCGCATCGAAAGTACTCAGACTCATGCTGCACAGAAATAGTGTTCCCCCAGTGGATGTGCTGTGTTCTGTGTTTATGCATATGGTGAAGACTGAGGCTGGCACATGTCTGGCATCTAATATCCTTCTTGAAATTTGTGACCATTTCCATCATCTTACAGAAAAGAGATCTGAATGTGCCACGTCTATGAAACCTAGTACTGCAATCTTCAACCTTATTCTTGAGGCTTGCGTGAGATCTGGATCATCGCTGAAAGGGCAACAGATAATAGAAGCAATGGCACGAATAAGAGCAGTAGCTGATGTACACTCTGTTCTTCTATTCACTTACATTTATGAAATGAATGGTCTGAGGGACGAGTTGAAGAGGTTCAAAGAGTATGTAGATCAAGTTTCATTGCCACTTGCTCGGCATTATGTTCACTTCTATGACAAGCTTTTGAGCTTGCATTATGATTTTGATGATACTGATGCTGCTGCCAGCCTGGTAACTGATATTTATCTTCTATGGGGGTCACGTCCTCTGCAACTAAATGAGGAACTGATGAAGCCTTGTAAACTGCCTATTGGTTCCCCATATTTGAAAGAAGGTTTAAAAGTTCAAGTTATGTTTGAGTTACTGCAGAAGGATTTTGTCATTCATGTGAAAGGCGAAGAGGAGTATGTAGCATTTAAGAACGGAAAACTTATTATTACTAGTAAAGGCTTGGCACGACTCATTATAAAATACAAGAGAAGAGGTAGAATTACTGAACTTTCTGAACTTTTAGTTGCAATTCAAAAGAAGATGGGTACAGCTCAAGAAGAAAATCTTTGCTGTGATGTAATCCATGCATGCATTGATTCTGGTTTCCTTGAGACTGCTCATGATATATTGGATGATATGGAAATGGCCAATATGGCTGTTCCCTCCTCAACATATATGCTACTTTTGAAAGCCTATCGCAAAGAAAATATGTCCAAGGAAGCAGAAGCCCTTGTGAAACAGATTAAAATGACTGGTTTGCTCATTGATGCATCTGACGAAACAATGGTGTCTAAGTGTCTTTCAGGAGTAGCACATGGAAGTGTGGTTAAATCAAATACCATTAGGCAATCAGAATTAGCTGAATCTTTGGTTCTAGAAATGAACTGGGATTATAATAAAGCTCCATCTAAAGTTTATGAACTTAATTCTTCTATGTATTTCTTTTGCAAGGCCAAAATGATGGAAGATGCTCAGACAATATACAGAAAAATGCAGGAGTTAAAGATACAGCCCACAGTGCAAACTTTTGCTCACTTGGTACAAGGCTACTTATCTTTGGAAAGGTATCGGGAAATCACCATCTTGTGGGGTGATATCAAAAGGTTTATGGATTATGGGTGTGCACTTGCAAACAGGGACTTGTATGAGTTATTGCTGTTAAATTTTCTTCGAGGAGGCTACTTTGAGAGAGTACTGGAAGTTCTTCACCATATGAAGGAACACGGTATGTATGCTGATAGATGGATGTATAATAAGGAGTTCATAAGGCTTCATAAGAACCTTTATAGAAAATTGAAGGCCACAGAGGTTAGAACCGAAGCACAGAGATTGAGGCTTGAGCATGTTAAGGACTTCAGAAAGTGGGTTCGCAATAATTGAACCAGTGTTGGGGCTATCTGATTTGGTTGATAGAATGGAAGGCACCCTAACTCTTGGTGTGTAATTAATCAAGCCAACAGGTAGATAGAGATTCAAAGTGAAGCCAGAGACTTCGCCGGACGGTGAGTAAATTTTTTGATCCATTTCTTTTTCTAATTGCAATTTATGAAAAGCAATAGTAGTTTTGTATGTTTTCAGCTGTGGCTAACCAATTCAAACTTGGTTGTATTTATAAAAAAAAAATCCTTATTTGTTTAAAGTTTGTGTCAAGTTAAATCGGCCTGATGGCCTCATATAAGCAAATTTTCCTGATTCCGGCCAAGACTGTTTCTAATCCCTTTAAGCTTAAAGCTTTAACATTTGATTATTGTTTCCTGTGGTTTTCATGAGTGCAATTTTTATGAATAATTTGTCATATTTATATCTATTACTTTTGTCTATTTGTGCAGAACTGAAGCTAGCCACTTTGGCCATTGCACTAAATGCTGCAAGCAAACGTCAGGCAAATGGCAAAGAAATATCAGCAGGATATATATAGAGGTTGGTGATAGCCTCTGTCTGACTTTGTATACAAGGCATTAGTTACATGTTGATCGATGGTAGTTGTATATTTCTAGGACATGATTAGCATATCAAAATGTTGTGTACAAGTAACATACTAACATGATCAGAGATAGGAAAACAGTCAAGTAAAAATATTAAGAAAAGTAGAATTCAACTACTACTTGTGTACAAGTAAAACACTACCATGTCTTGTCCTTTTCTCATATGGATTTGTTCTTTAAGATTGAAATTTTGCATTACTGAATTAAAATATCTACTGTGAAGTTGAATATTCTTTTCAGCTTTATGTCCATGATGAAAACATATGAACCATAGCCATTTTAATTTGCGGTCAAACCTAAGGAAGTATGAATTATATATAGTATTGTTAAGTAATAAGTATACAAAATTTTTTGATATTTTTTACCAAAGTGAAGCTGATTAGGTTTTACCACAAAAAGTCAGGTATTTCCAATCATCTTGAGGTAGAGGTAGTCTATTCCCTCATTTGAAAGTTGGTTATTTTGAAGAAGAATATTGAAATTTGAAAGAGGTGCTACACTTCATTATATTGGTTGTTTGAAAATATCTATCCTGTCTTTATATGGAAGTTGCCATCATCTTTTTTTCCACTTACAAATTGTTTTCTTGAAAAATAGTAGATAGGATTTGGTAGGCTGGTAGCATTATCTTAATATTGGTTTCAAGGTCAATCTTTTGTGGAATAGATAGTTGGTCACACATGATTTATTTAGGACATCTTACTACTGAAATGGACAAATTAAGTCCATATTCAATGTTTAGATAGATGACCTGGGTTGATCTCATTTCAAAATGCTGATGTACATTGTTGTTGCTTGTGCGTTTCAGCTTGTTGAATAAGTGGAAATACATGCAGGCACACTCAGAATCAAGAACAGTACCACAGAAACTGTTTGATTCAGTACAAGCTCACTCTTGGATATTTGGCTTAAATAATACGAAGCACAACGTAATGGATAAACTGAAGACGTCGAGGTTGAGCTCAACATGATTTGGTTGGTGAACTTGAATTAATCAATATTCAAATCAAACTCTAAGTTGAGATCACAATGGCATCAAAATCTGCTAGTTTGACTTTGGAATTTTACCTGAGGTGCATTAGCCAATGTAGCTTGTGTTTTCATCCATTTAATCTACAAGGAAGTCCAACAAGTTACGTGAGCGATAAAGCTATGAGCAAAATTTAGCACATGAAGAAATGTGTATGATTTTGAGTAGTTAGATTATCTCTATAGGCAATTGAGTTGTGAAAAGCAAATTTTTCTTTTTACAGAAATCATTGGTTGCATTTCAAATATTTGTAGCTCTTTTTCTCCTACCATGTAAGAGTTTGTAACAACATGAAAGGAGTCACTTTTGGAAGTAGCATGCCCTTTTATTCTTGGGTTAAGTTTCACCTTTTGAGTCCATTAATTCTCCCTCTTTGCTTTAGAACTTATAATAATGAAATAATCTAACTTGTTTATGAATTAAGTAGTACTTGACCTAGACCCAATATTTTAATAGTTTGAATGAGTAATTTGTTAGAATCCTAAATATCTATTTATGTAGAGCATAGTCAATTAGTCATGCACTCAAGCAATTGAATAGAAACAAGGAGTACAATTTGATTTTGTCTCTTCATATAAACCCACCATCGTATTATAAAATCCTTAACCCACCCCATAATAATCAAATACACACGACGTAATTAGATTGTTACATACGAAATACAAAGTACGGAGTATTATTTTTAGCATATTCCAAATATCGAAGGAATTACATAAACGATTGATAAAGAGTGATATATGAATCGTCGAGCACCACGTCACTCAATCCAACCACACAAACAAACAATAACACAATTTGCCAAATGCCCTACATATTCCCTCACTCGATAAGGTTTAAACACTTTAAACCCCACTTTTCTCCCAAATTTCTCATCAACAAATTCTAGAACTCAACAAATAATTCGGATTACCCACTTGGAAATGTTCTTCAAGAACACTTCAATCAATTTCGATTCAATTCATTGACCCATTCCACTTAAATCCAGAGAAAACTTACACGAAAACCCAGAAATTATAAATTTAAATTAACCCAGAAAAAATAAATACAATGTTGAAAACCATAACATCTTCATCTCCTTCACTACCACTTCTCTTCAAATTCAACAAATCTTCATCATCTTCATCTTCTTCTTCATCTACCTTTTCTGGGTGTCTTTCTCTTCCTTTCTCGAAACATCCAATTTCAAACCCACTTTCACCATCACCTCGTTCACTCTCTCTCCTCAATTCCTTCAAAAACCCCATGAATAATCTCCTTGGAAAACTGGGTTTTGCTTCTAGAACCTCTGAAACTATGGATTCTTCGTCAATTGCGCAAGGCCCAGATGATGATTTGCCTGCTCCTGGTCAGCAATTTGCTCAGTTTGGGGCAGGTTGTTTTTGGGGGGTAGAATTGGCATTTCAAAGGGTACCTGGTGTGACCCGAACTGAAGTGGGTTATAGTCAAGGGTTTACTGATAATCCTACTTATGAAGATATTTGTACTGGGATGACTAATCATTCGGAAGTTGTTAGGGTTCAGTATGATCCTAAATTGTGTGCTTTTGATAATCTTCTTGATGTTTTTTGGGCTAGACATGATCCTACTACCCTTAATCGTCAAGTAAGTTCCTTTATTTTTAAGGGTGCTTGAATTTTGTTTTTGATTGAATATTTTTGTATTTATTGTAGAGTGTTTTTTTTTTTTCCTGGGGTTTATGTGTTGGATTGATTAATAGTATGTTGTTAATGAGGTTTTGAGATTGTTGTTAATTAGTGATTTTGTGTTTTTAGTTCAAAATTGGGGTTGAGTTTGATGTAATTAGCTGAATTTGTGGCCTTTGTTCGAAATTAATAGCTACATACTATCCTTGGATGTCTGAAAATTTGCAGTGGTGATAATGATATTGCCTATTGGTAAAAAAGTGTCATGTTTGAGGTTGAAACTTTGAGGCCTTTATGTAATGAAGATCGCAATGTATATCTGAAGATTTAATTTTTGGAAGTCATTAGTTTAATTTTTGGAAGTCATTAGTTTGCTAAAGCTATATAATTAAGTCTAAAAGTGTGCTAAATGAAGCATATGACACAGATACAGAGTGATACATAAGTGTCATACACTACTTTTGGTCTTTATGATTGCAACATTTGTATGAGGATGCTTTTGCTTTGAGAAAAGATGCGTACAAAAATTTGGATAAGAGGAGCAGTTAACTTGAAAGGGGAAATTTTAGGAGTTTGTGGGAAGAATGCTTTGGGTGCTGGCATTTTTTTTTATATGTATAATTTGTCTGCTGGAGCTACTTTTATGTGTAGGCCCTTCATACTACGAACTAGTGGATTTTGTTTGAATTATAGTATCTTTTGGGAGTATAGCATTATCTTGTTGAAATTTTTTGATAATGTAAGTGTATGCGTTTCCAAGACTTGTCTTTTGCTATGTGACTTTATCAGGTTGTAGTTGAAGATGCTAAGAATGTTTCATATGTGGACTGGAAAATTGTAGGCAAAGTAGTATGTTAAGAGAGTTTAATGTCACATGTGATGGTAGATGTAGTTGTATCGAAGAAATTGGGTTGGGGAACTTGGAGGTTTTTGTCAGAAGGATGTATGTTTGAGAGCCCATAGAACCAAAATGAAATTTTGACTTGTTGGCTAATATTATTCCAAAACCCTGTGGCTTCTAGTTCTTCAAAGTTGTAAAAAAAAAATAATGTACAAGTATTTGCATGATCACAAATTGAGCAAGTTGAGGTCGATGCTTCATGATGACCAAATTTTTATAAGAATATGGTTATTATCAATGAGAGACATTTGAATTTCCTGTAGATACTAACCAGCTAGCTCATCTGGTTGCTGGAAAGTGCATAGGTGTTTTAAGTCTTGTCATCTATGTATTCCTATTTGTTTGGTCTTTGGAGCATATATTGGTGGAGGTGTGCCAGTTCTTAAGCTCTGCTTGTTGAGATGTGGTCTTAGCATCGATAATTGACGGGCTTGACAGAGTTCACACCCTGGGATGTTGGTTGCTTGGTGCAGTGGTGCTTGCATTTTCTCATTATTTATTCCATTTTCAGAAGTTTGTCACTTTCGCATTCTTGAGATACTGTGTGCTCAAGGCATGCAGATCACTGGTAATGTGTCACCTCCATGAACCAGAATCTTCGGATTTCTGTCTGGCCTTTTAATTTTTTTTTTTTCACTCCTTTTCTGATGTCGAATTCTGTGATTTTCTTGTCTTTGTCTGCCTTTAAAAGAGTTTAACATCACTTAGAAAATTTTAAAAGTTAAACTTGTGAAATATTGATGCCTTTATTCTTCGTTTATTAATTATTCTTTGTATTTCCTCTGGGTTGAGGAGGTGAATATGGGTATTAAGATGTCCAATCTGTTTTCTTTTTGCTACAAAGAGATTGCATGAATTCGAGGTCATCTTTTTCATACAATTGGCGGAGGGAGGAATCACGGATGAGTTGGTGCTGACTTCTTGACCTTTTTGTTGGTTTCAGGGGAATGATGTAGGAACGCAGTACAGATCAGGAATATACTTCTATACACCTGAGCAAGAGCAAGCTGCAATTGAATCAAGGGACCGTCAGCAAAAGATTCTGAACAGGAACATCGTGACTGAGATTTTGCCAGCCAAAAAGTTCTACAGAGCTGAGGAGTACCACCAGCAATACCTTGCCAAGGGAGGACGATTTGGATTTAAGCAATCCACTGAGAAAGGATGCAATGACCCTATTAGATGTTATGGCTAAGTTCAACCTTGGGTACTCAAACCCTACTTGGCTTGGGACCTTTTTCTTGGTTAGAATATGCCTAAAATTATGTGTATAGCGAATCTAGTACTCTTATTTTGCTGGTGTGAGATTCCTGTTAGCTCACAGGTCACAGCCTTCTTGTAACTATTCGCATGACTTTGAGGGGCTGGTTATCCTGTGCATATTATATTATCTATTCCAGGAACTTAATATCTGTACTGCCTTGTATTGGATGCTTCATCTCTCTAATATAACCTCAGGGAAAGATGTATTAGCCGTGGTGTTTACGGATGTAATGATGTATCATTCCCACATGTATATAAAAGGGTAAGTTTTAGTGCCAAAATCAGAACCTATCAATGGATATCTCATTTCTGTTTCACCTATGGTAGTTGCTCACTTGTTCTTAAAGCATTTTCTGCTGTCACGTAGTAACGCACTTGAAAGATGCTGGTAGTGATGATGGGAAAAGGGTTGTTTGTTAGAGTCACTTTAAATCACATCATGTTATCAATGTTAATGAGATGTAACAATTATGGTTTTTTTTTTTTCACTCAAAGCAAATTTAACTATGAACTTTGATGATTCATTGTCTCTCCATAAGTCTTCCTAACTAATTTCCTAGCCTTTTAGAATCCAAGGAACAGTATGAGAATAATAATATAAAAAAGAAAAAAAAATCAATACTAAATCATTCACTTGCAGACATTTGGTCACAGATTTCTGACTACATCCTGTAAATCTGTAACTGCTATGTTATTTATCTCACTCAATTTTCAAACAAAGAAAGAGGATTGTTGTTGCACTGGAAATAAGCTTCTTTGCGTACACCAAAACCATGTACAGGCTTGCTTTTGTATGTGGAGAAGAAACGTACACAAAATCCATGTACAGGCTTGCATTTGTATGTGGATTAGAAACGTACACAAAATTGGATACCAAGTTTCATACACGACTGCCTTTATTAAATTTTTGCGATCTTCTAACAACTTACTCATTCCTAACCGCTTTAATCCAATCAATTTCCACTCTGAAGTCACCTGGCCCAGACCTAGCACCGGGTACACCACCTTCAGCATTTACTGATAGTGACATGCCGAGAACACGAGCTGGATTCATTTCCATACTTGCGTCAATAACATTGCCCCTCCAGGTTGGTAGATATCGAGCTAGAGGAATCTGAGAATGACAGAAATTCCATTTAAAATCTGTTAAGGCTACTTCCTTTATGTTAAACGAACAGATAAAACATTGAATCATGCAAGTGATCTCCATCTGGAGATATAAGAGAAACTTTAAACAAGAAACATGTTTGGCACCTAGCTCCTAGAATATAGACAACATTGTACTTAAACTCCGTTAAAAGAAGATTGATATGAGATCACAGTAGAGAACAAAGTCACCTTTTGGTTGTTTATAGTGTTAAACAACAAACATGTTACTATGTTGGCTAATGCCTTATTCATTCGACATCGTTCAGAAGCAAAATTTCTGTGGATCAAAGTGTTCATGAACTCTCTACTAAGCTCAGCTACCCTAAAGTCCTAAAATGCTTTTTTTTTTTTTTTTTTTTTTTTTTAATGCATGCAACAACCAGCATCAGTCCATCAGACTCAGTATAAGCTTCTTATCGATGCATGAACTAGATAGAAATAAGTGGCGGTAAAGTTTCAATGTGTATGAAAACATATCCGAAGAATACCAACTGCCAATAATTGAATAATATGATAGCGTAGAGAACAACAAAGTTGATGTAACATATTCGAGACAAATTTTTAACATTCTAGTGAAATGTATCAATGACATGAGTTCCAGAGTATTCAAAACTTGCCTTAGCAATGTACCAATTGCCAGCAGGAACGTAAACAAAAGCCTGCCAAGAATTGTCTTCCTGCTGTCCAGGGGAATTTACCCAATTTTCTGTATAGATCTGGCAAGAAATTTTCAGGAATTTCAGTGGGACCTTATAGATTAACTCCTTTTTCTAGCATGAGCACAGGAAAACTCACCGTAGATATGTAGCACCGTCCATCTCCTTTGAGTTTTAAGGCTATTGTGTCATATGAATCCAAATCAATGAAACCATTAAACTGAAATGAAAACAAAGTACAGGTGTGAGATATGTGGTGCATTGGAATTTCTTCCAAATATTAATGATAAAATAATGTCATTCACCCATTCCCTTCCGCTAATATGTAACTCAGTTTATTTGTTTCTTTAGCATTTAGCATGTTAATCCATCATTTCTTTTTCTTTACTAAGGAAACTAGTTTGTACAGGACATGACAAGAGCTTCAATAAACATTTGTATGCTTGAATAGATTTCTAAAGGGCTTGAGATACGCATTTAATAACGCAGGATCAAGGTCAACTGCTAAGAGGGTGGCTAAGTTGCCCAGAGAAGGTTAAAAGGACTCAAAACTGTTCAAGCCTCCCCCCAAACCCCCCCCCCCAAACCCCGGAACACAAACAGATATACAAATAATACATTCAATATTTCAATAATTACGAATCCCAGTTCTCAAGCACCTCTGAAATTGGAGAAAATATATTATAAATGTTTATTAGGGCAGTTGTCAGATTACCTAAGCTTCACTAAAGTGTCCAAATAAAATCAAAATACTTCAGAACATCAATGCTGACTTGAAGGTTAAAAATATCCAAGACCATAGGTGAAAAGAGGGAAAAGGGGGCGTGGGATAACACTGTAATATTATATTATTATTATACTGACATATATGTAGGCAACTGAAAACTAGAGAATTCAAAGCAATGATCGCCTTCTTGAAATGCATTTCACAAACAGAACATAGTAGACAAGAAGTTTGTTCATGTTTTGAATGCCATCAGCCATAACCTTTTTTAATAAAAATAATTATTGACAAGGATCTAACTTCTTTACAGTCATTTGCAACAGTACACAAATATTTTACAAATTTTGTAGCAATGATTACCTTCTTGGAACGCATCCCACAAAAGCCACTTCTACTTATGTTCCATTTAGATCCCTCCATCACATCCAACGAGAGTGTACCAGAGAATAATCCTATAAAAAATTGTCAGTAACAAATATCAGCAAAAGAAGATATTATTTTTTATAACACGATATTATACATGATTTATATGTGATATTTGGTCATATTTTATTGTGTTTCCTTCATTTTCCTACTCTTTTAGAGCTATTATTCTTCCTATTTCGATATTGCTCTTCTCGGTTTGTTTGTTTTTGTTTTTATAGGAATAGGGATCGATTTGCGTGGAATTCAACTTGGACGCGAGATATTCTTCACATGGAGCGTTTTTAGCATCCACGAAGCATCATGGCAGCCTAGTCTGCAGCTTGATTGCGGTTTACTATGACCTACCGCAGCCTACCTGCGGCGCACTTCACAAAGGAGCAAGAATTCAAGTCGGCAGCCTACACCGCAGCAATACCGCGGCTCGCGACCTTGTACCGCAGCCCGGTTGCGGCCTCTTCATTACCAACAAATTTAGCCCTATTTTAGGGATTTTAGGAGTCCTAATCCTAAGAAAAGACTACTACTATTTTCCTATCATATAAATAGGTTTTAGATAGTCTTTTATCTATCACTTTTTATACATTATTTTAGAGCTTTTGGTATTACGTTCTTCATTATTACTTTCAAGATTCAAGTTTTCATATTTAATTCCTATTCCAAGTATTGATTTCTCTTCCTTATTCTCTTTAATTTTTATTGTTATTATGTTTTCTTTAATTAATTGTCTTGTTATTTCTATTATTATGTGTGATTAGTTTCATAATCTAGGGTTAGGTTGAACCCTAATATGGATTGACGTGTTATTTGATTCCCAATTCCCAATTTAATTAATTCATAATTTCTCTTTGTTAGGGTTGGTTTTATTATCAATGATAAACTAGAAATAGTATTATTGAATGTGATTAGGTTTACAACGAAAGTTGATTCTTAATTGAATTTAGAACCCTAATTAAAAGTAAGAGCTTTTATGCATGAAAATAGCTAATTGTTCTTGCTAGGGTTTATACGATGCCGTTCTCAATGTCTTTAATATGTATGATTCCATGAAAATAGGTATGATTGCATGTTAGGGAAGCTATTAGTTGATCGAAAGAAACTCTTAGTATTGTTTTAGGAAGCATCCGTCCAATGGAATATTTATTGATTTAAATTGAGGGAAAGGGATTGTTCTATTGCATTGATTCATATTAGTGGGGATACTTAATCTTAGATGTCTTTAGTTCTTGATTAATTCATTATTACAATTTTCTTTGCTTGATAGTTCGTAATTGTTCTAGAATAGATTTCTCGATATTGATTGGTACTTGCTTAGTATTGATTTGAGTTTGTTTAATTAGTAGTCCTTAGTCTCTTGGGATTCGACCCCTACTTGCTCAACTACATAGTAGAGTTAGTTCGGTTATTTTTGTTAGGTACGCGACACGCCTATCAATTTTTCAGTTCTGTTCTGCCTTTTCTTTTCTTGTATTTTATCTAATATACAGGATTATATAATGATATACAAAATACTAATTTAAGGAGACAGTTTTTGCAAAAATTATCTCCTAAGCCAGCATTACCATTTCAAGAGAGGCAGGGTGCACAATAATATTAAAGTTATATTTAAAAATACCTTTAAAACCATCTCCTTCATCAGTGACTTCCAATGACGCTGAAGACAAACCTGAAGAAAATAAACAATAAAACTGTCATACAGCTTACAAAAGCAGTTAAATGCTTGAAAAGCACCAGCACAGCCTGATATTACAAGTCACAAGCCATATGAGCTTAATGCCTTAATCTACAGAATGATTAAGTCAATTCTGCTACAAAAATAAATTAATCAGTTAAATCCAAGTTCTGTTTTCAAAATTTTGGTCTGCCAGTTTGTCCTTAAATTCTTATCATGAATATGGACATATGGTTTATATGGATGCAGTTAGTTCAACACTCATGAAAAATGAGTGCATCAACTTTTTGTAACCACCATAAGACTTCATCAGTGTTTACTTAACACAAGTACACAACTGATGATGGTAATGCAGAGGACAGTTGCCTCAAGCATTCGGCATAGACCAATGAAAAAATAGAAGGATCGTATTTTAGTATTATGTCTAAAAATCAATCCCTTTTCTCACTCTGGAAGAAAGCAAACACCAAAGATATTGCCTTTCAGTTTGAAGTATTTTGTACCAAGTATATAGACCACACTGCAGAGAATATGACATGATCAAAGTGACAGTTACCTGAATATGCACGTACCTCCATATTCTGAATCTGAGTAAAGATGCCATTTCTTGATCTCTTCTTTACAATTGAAACTGAAAATATACTTTTCACAAGGGGGCATCAAATCATCAACATTCCATGTGAGAGCTGCAACATGACCAGCAAAAGATGACAAGGGTGTAAAGTAAATCATACAATATAGACAATGAGAAAATCGACCCTGAAATATAATGCAGCATAGCACCCTGCCAGATAACTTGGTATACATAATCAACACCAAAGCTTCCCTAATGCTCCTACAGGAGCTCTCACCTTGGTAGGGGTAAGGGGGTTGCATACACAGCCTCACCCCTGAGATTTTTGAAATGATACTTCAATTAAGTCATTGGCCATTGATCCAAGAGGACCAAGACAGAGAAATTGTCTACACTATACAGCTTCACAATGTTAAAGAAGCGCAAAGGGAGTTGCTATATTTTATTTCATTAAAATACAAAAGCCAAAGACTAGTAAAGGTTTAGCTCCAAATGAAAGGGAAAATATTTATCAATGTGCAATATTAAGACGTAAACCCCTATAAAGCACTCAAAAGACAGCCAGATAATTTTGAGGAAGCAGGGAAGAAAGAAATCAACCAATCTATACACATACACATAGGAACAAGACTAATCGATGGCTAAGTTAACTATAGGAAAGAAGCAAGCATGACCACAGATACAACAATACAATGTTAATGTGCAACATGGCAACTGCATTCTATTACAAGTGTAATGGAAATCTAATTATAGCATCATGCACAAGATACCAGAGGCTGTAGCAGCATCAATCTCTTCAGAGAAGTGCTAAGCATTTGAGTGGGAGCAGGCACTACTGAAAACAATTGGCACTACGAGTTTCGTAATGTTGCTCCATTTTGACGATTGATTAATGCCAATCAAGAATTGATTACACAAGCATGCCAGTTGATTAGAGTTGTCATTGATGCTTTCACAAAATATCATGGTGTACTAAGTTCTGTAAGGTGGTAATTCTTCCCAAATGATGGCCAACATCGAGGAGCCAAACCTTTGCATCACTAAGTGAGACAAGAAAGTGGAATTACATATCTAGGAAATTTTACTAGCAGTGGGAATGAGTAACCTTGGGATAACCTCTTTCCCCTAGCACCCTTGCACCAACCTCCCCAAATCCTAAAACAACATTGTCTTCCACTCTTATTCACTATATCCATGATTTCAATCACTACATTGTTTGAAGTTTCATAAAATGCAGCAGGCGAAAACCCGGCTCGAGTTTTCCAATCTATCTCCATCAGCAATATTCAATTCTCTACAGCTTCTAACACTAATATAGATTTCTCAGCAAATTAACTCATCAAAACCACTATAATTTATCTCATAAATAACCCAAAAACAACATCAATAAATTGCTCCAACCTATTAATCAACCCATTTCTTAATCTTCCAGGAAATTCCCACATCACAGAATTAAGACACACCCATAAAAACAAAGAACACATTCTAGGAAAAACAATAAAAAGAAAAATGGGATTGAAACTTAAAAGCAAGAACATCAAATTAATAAAAAAACAAAGATTAATTGGAAATGGGTGTAATATACCTTTCTTGGTAGCATTCAAAGAAGCTTGTATAAGTGATCGAAACCTCGACATTTTTTTCTTCTTTCTAAACAAAAATCAAATCTTTTCTTCAAAGTTTCTCTGAATTTCTTCTAAAATGGTTGAGACTCCATTGTTAGCTCAGCTCAATGATTTCTGCATCGGTTTAGCGCCGCCGATTTCCGTTGAAGCTCAGCTGTAATAACCAAGGAAACAAAAGAAAGAAAGAATGGCGAAGACAGAGCAACAAGGTCGATACGACGTCGTTTCAAAGTAAGCTAACAAAGTTTTGGACTTTTTGGGTCAAACCTTGCTTTATTTGGGTTTTTGAGTTTGGGGCTGAGGCCTGGAGAGTAGTGGGTTTGATGGGTTTGAGTAAACCAACCTCTCTTATTTTTTTATTTTTTTACAAAATAAAATATTTTTTTTTTTCAATTGTTTACCTTGGAATTTTACATTTTTGTAGAAAACTTTTTGAAAAGAGTTTTAGAGACTAATTAATAATTATCTCCTCAAAAAAAAAAGACTAATTAATAATTAAACCTTATTATTAAGTACAATTAATAAAATGTGCGATGTCGAACAAATAACATATGAGTTACGGAGTATAAAATGAAAATAAGTATGAGACATTTGGCGAAATTTTCAAATTCAAGTTTAAAGTTCAAATGTAACTTTGCTCATTCTTAACAAACTCTTGAGATAACTACCATTACCATCATTTATTATTTTCTACCTGTTCCATCAATTATACTAGGCTACTAGCAGGAATTTACAATTTTACGATTTTGTAGGGAAGTTAATGATATGATTTACATTCCAAACTACCTTCTCCTAGCCTATACACTTCTGCACTTATATGTTATTCTTTTTGTTGCTTGGGCAAATGAGTAAAGAGTGAATAATTGTAGTATTTTACTCCTTTGGAAGCCAATAATATAATCATTTTACAAAAACTCAAATACTAGGAATATACTGATTTGAACAACCATGAGTCCATGATTGACAAAGAATAAAAGTTTACAAGTCATCTCCTTGTCATGTTGTTGTACATATTTTTTTTATTATTATTATTAAAAAATAAAAAATAAAAAAAAATAAAAAAAAAAAGCGCCTCTTCTGCACTAAAATAACCATGCTAGAACCCCATTTAGCATAAATAAAACTATAAATTATACACCCAAAAATCTAAAATGCAAATTTATGTGCAACACATAAATTTTCAGGTGTAAAAATAGGGCAAGGGCCCCACTTGGATGAAGAAGTGTAGGATGTCCAATCATTCTCACAAAGGATAGATAAGAAGCCTAGCAATATCACATCCACAACCCTCCAAAATCAACCAAAACCAACTATTCAATTGTCCACAAAATTGCCACACTTCATCACATACTACCCTTCACTTTACTAAATATCCTTGTTACTTCCTTTTTTCCTACACAAAACATTAGCCTCATTATCACACACACATCTTTACTCCCATAGCATCCACTAGTCTAGCACCATCATGGCTACCGCTGCCCCGGCCACCGCCTCGTACATCTTTGGAACCCGCATTACCGGCCCAAACCCGGGCAAAGGAAGGTTCCAAGCCTTATTTGGGCTTGGCAAAAAGGCCGCCCCACAAAAGAAAGCGGCCCCAAAGAAACCAATAATAGAAGAGGACCGGCCCGTGTGGTTCCCGGGTGCTGAACCACCCGAATGGCTAGACGGAACAATGGTTGGGGACCGTGGATTCGATCCATTTGGGCTCGGAAAGCCCGCTGAATACTTGCAATTTGACTATGATGGGCTGGATCAGAACCTTGCTAAGAATTTAGCTGGTGATATTATAGGAACTAGGATTGAAAATGCTGACATTCAGCCCACACCATTTCAGCCTTACACTGAAGTGTTTGGGATCCAAAGATTTAGGGAGTGTGAAGTCATCCATGGTAGGTGGGCCATGTTAGCCACTCTTGGTGCTCTTTCTGTTGAGGCTCTTACTGGTGTTTCTTGGCAAGATGCTGGAAAGGTAACATCTTTATTCAATACAACATTATATTATACTAGTACATGAAATGATTTGAGATTATTGATAACATATAGTTTGATTATAACATTCTACCTCAGATTGATAATATATGGTTTGAGATTATTGATGCTATGTAGTTTAATTATAACATTCTACCTAGGATTGATAATATATGGTTTGAGATTATTGATAATATAGCAAGGTTAACAGTTCAAATTCATCCGTTTGTGCTGTTTTAAGTAAGATTGTCAGAATTCTGAAGGTCCATTATGAATTTCCTGTGTCAATTTGATTATAGAGTCTCCATTTGAACTGGATCTACGAAGTATTGGAAATTTGAGTAATCACAAGTATTGTTTCCATATGTCATGAGTTGTAACATTGTATATTCCCTCTGTCCACAAATAATAGTCGTACATGATTTATGTGACTCGAAGTGGACCTAGGGAGTACTAATTCAGTAATTCTACACACAACTTATCTAGGAAAAACTTGATAATGATGAAGTTGTACAATATGAAGTATTAGATTCTATAACAGCATGAAAACTATAATTAAATAATAATCTAAACTTATACTAATAATGAAAATAAACAACTTTGTGCAGGTAGAGTTGATTGAAGGAGCATCCTACCTAGGCCAAAAACTGCCATTCTCCCTAACAACATTGATCTGGATAGAAGTGCTACTAGTTGGATACATTGAGTTCCAGAGGAATGCAGAGCTTGACCCAGAGAAGCGCCTATACCCCGGCGGCCAGTACTTTGACCCCCTTGGCTTAGCCGCGGACCCTGAGAAGAAGGAGAGGCTTCAGCTAGCAGAGATCAAGCACTCTCGCCTCGCTATGGTTGCCTTCCTTGGCTTTGCCATCCAAGCTGCTGCCACTGGAAAAGGCCCTCTTAGCAATGTTGCTGAATTCTTAAGTGACCCTTCTAACAACATTTTCAAAACCTTTTCATCTTAAACTATTCCTACGTACTTCTATTATTAAGAGTAACAATATTGTATACCAACTATGTACTCTGTATGTGTTATTGATATATTTCCTATATTCCTAATATTCTTGTCTTTTTCATTATAATCCTCCCTCTCTTTTTTGGTCTACCCCAATATAAATGAGGATGTTATTAGCTCATTTAGCTGTGCTTGTGCATTTCAGTTGTAATATGTACATTTGTTACACTTTTAAAGAACAGTGTAATGTACTTGTATCATTTTATTATATATCCTCTGCATTCAGATCATTTTTAATGAACAAATAATAGTATGTACGTGTAAATATGTTCATAATCCTACATATTAATAACCTTATTTTGTACGGAATAGGTACTGTTTCGGGTGAAAACAATGGGACCTTGCCGAAGGTCCGCTGAAATGGAGAAGACTGGATTCGGTCCAAGTTATGTTGGGCCGAAGGTTTCCTGCACAGTAAACACACGTAAACTAGCCTCGGGGGTGTTGCCGAGGAAGGCCCCTCCGATGCTAAAGTCAGTACAATGTGTAAAAGGAAGACACTATGCAAGAGAGTTTGTAGCTTGAGGCTTTTGTGGAATATATCTCCATCAGAATATGAATATGAACGTGTCTATATGAATGTGTCAATATGATGGCTTTTTATACCTCATCATAAATGGTGAGGTTGGGCCTTAGCCCAATTGGCATGCTTTGTGGGCTGACCTTTGACTTTTGTGCAATTGGAGAGTTGAACCTTGACCTTGGGCTTTTAATTGGATCATTTAGTGCTTAGGCCCAATTTTGACTAAATTGGACCCAAACAACTTGCCCCCCAGACCCGATTTGGAAGGATGACGGGTCGGGTTTGATTTAATTCAGAAAAGGAGGGAAGTAAATGATTTAATTGATCCAAAAATTTGAATTTAAACCGTAATTAATGAGATAACAACGGTTAATGATTGCGGAAGTTGGACGGATAATGGGCAGTTTAATCACAAGATCATGTGTTTAATGGTTACTTAGTGGGTATTTAAGAGAAATTAAAGCACAGACTCTTCGTATCCCGTACCTGGAGATATAAACAGAGGCGCGTCATTCTCCTCACTTATTCACCAACACAAACCCAGAATTCCTCGAGAGAGAAACCAAGAACCCGCATCAAAACTTCGCAAATTCCCCGAGCATTGAGCTTAGAAACTGAGACTTGCCACTACGAACTCGTAAATCGGCAACTTTCGCTTCAGATTAAGGTAAATTCCTTTGATTTCAGTTTATTTTTCTTCGAATTCGAACTCCTTCCCCTTTTCTTTCGACTTTTCTCTTCGAAATAATCAATGGCAAGAGGAGTTAGAGGTAGAGCCCGTGCTCCAAGAAGAGCAAGGCCGATTCCTGATCCTAGGAACAGGATTGGGACCTGGAATGGTCAAAGGCCGGAGTCTGACCCTGCTGAAGGGATTAGGGCGACTCCCCTTTCCTCGGCTCCTCCTCAAAGAACGGATGAGCCGAGCGCTTCTGGACGGGATGATGAAGTTCCCGCTGTCCTTTGGGATATCCTCCCTGGGTTTTCAGAATGGGAGAATGCCGAAGTCGTTTCGGCCATGATAAAGAACCGCCCCTACTCATGGTGGGTAGAGAACGCCGATCAATATCGATTTGCCGAGCAAATTGAGTTGCATTACGGCATTTTTGAAGCTGATGGATATTGGTGCCGAATGCCCTCAGCATCCGATAGAATCCATCGTCCACCCCCGGGGTATGTGGGGGTGTACACGAGACAGCTTCAGTACGGGTTGAGGTTCCCTTTGGACGTTTTCGTCCGAGACTTGCTGATCCATTACAACATCTCCCTATGTCAGCTAACCCCCACCAGCATCCGAAGGGTGATGACATACTTATGGGTCTGCAAGTTCTTCAAGTACGTGCCGAACCTGCACTGCTTCAAAAAGCTCCATCGGCTAGTGCCAAATATTCAAAGTGGGCACGGAAGCCATGGTTCTGGGTGGTACCGGATTGAGTCCCGGCCCCAATACTTGACCATGTGGCCAAACGACTCTTCAGACAAGGACTGGAGAGGTCAATGGATTTGGGTTAGGGCACCCACAGATCCGGGCCACCCTTGCGTCTTCAGCGCTCCCCGGTACTTAGCTGAGCCTGATCCCGAAATGGGAAGTCTAGGTCCCCCCGCAGATAACGGGGCGGATCCGAACCTGGATCAGCAACATATCTTCGGCAAGCTGCCGAACCCGGGGGGGAGTGGTCGAATGCAGCATAGCCCGGAGACTTGGCTCCCCGATACGCATTACGTTTTCCAAGAGAACATGCTAGCAGCTGTTGGCCTCAGCCGAAAGTTTAAGGATGGTAAGCTTCTTCGGCTGGGGCCGAGGCTTTTTAACTACCTCTTTTTCTTCTCTCGCTTTGCTTTTTTTATGCTGTGCCGATCTATCTGAGCTAAACTTTCCCCTTTCCTTTTTTCAGAGCGGGACGAGACCAACGTTGGCATTAACTACGCTCGTCTTGGTGTCAACCGAGAGCGAGTTGTAACTGAACGGGCCCCGTCTATCACTGAGCCGAGGCATAGGGAAGTTCATCTAGACTCTTCCCACTTCCAAATTGAGGATGTTGCTCTGTATCAGAGGCAGAAGCCTTGGTGGAAGAAGAGAGACCCTTGGTTTCAGCTGCTGAACGAAGAAGCTGAAGCTGCCCGCACAGCCGAAGAGGTTGCACGGGTACTCGAAGCTTGCGAAAGAGGAGAAGGGTCCTCCAGAGCTGCTGAAGCCGAAGCTGCAGCTAGAGCAGCTGAAGAAGACGAGGCTTTGCTGAAGACCTCGGTGAGCTTTCAGACAACTTTTTCATTTTTTTTTTTTTTTTTTTTTTTTTTTTTTTTTTTTTTTACTCACATTCTTCTTCCCCCCTCTGTTACAGTCTGAAGAGAGTAACAGACACAGAGAAGGCAAAGCTCCTGTTCGTCCCGAAGACCAAATACAAGAGTCTTCAGACTCAGATATGGACGAGCAGCCCCTTCTGAAAAGGCGCCGAAGGATGGCCATCATCGGCCCTCATGACTTTCAGCAGAGGCCGATGACCATCGGCGTCGCAATAAGGGAACCTGAGGAAGGCAATGGATCGCCGAGGGTTCCCCAGCCAACACCCCAATCACCTCAAAAGACCCCTCCGCCACCTCCTGAGATGGAGGTGGATCAGAGAACTCCCGAACCTAAGGGAGGGGTCCAAGAAGAAATCAAGAAGAGTGTTGATGAGCACGAAAATAAGGATGCCATGATGTCCAGCGCTGAGGGCTTCACGGCAGACATCGCAAGAGAGGTTGAGGCTTTCGTCCTCACCCCTGAAGAAGAGGAGGTCATAGTAATTGACTCCTCTGAGAAGGATGATGCTGAGACAACCAAAGCTAATCAAGCTCCATCGTCATCCTTCCCTTCTTTCCAGACTCTGCATTCTGGAGAAATGGGTTTCTCGGCCCCCCGAATTCCAATCCCAGACCACATCTGGGACCTCATATGGGGTCAAAACCGAGAAGGAGCTGCAGCCTACTTCAGCAATTTTGCTGGCATGTCCGAAGTAGACAGGGCAAGGATCTGGTCGCTGAAGGCCACTGCTGGGATGGGCGAATCCAGCAGATCAGTTCCTGACCCAGCCAGGTCTAACCAACTGCTGATGATGCAGGTAATTTTCCTTGTCTTCATTTCCTCCGAAATTCAGCTCTTTATATATATATATATTTTTTATTTATTTATTTATTTTTGTCTTCCTGTTTTCAGTTCGTGCACAATCAGACTCTCACTGTAGAGCTGATAGATACCCTACAAGATAGGGTAGACGCTGATGTGCACGACAAGAAGGTGGCTGAAGAGGAAGTAAAGCTTGCTAAGCTGAAGCAAGCAGCAGCTGAAGAGAAGCAGCAGGAGGTTGAGGAGTACGGGAAAAGAGCTGCTGAAGCCCTGAAAACCTTCTGCGATGCTATGGAGAAGGAAGTTTTTCCCCCACTGATGGAAGGGGAAAAATTCCTCCAGGAGCATATGGGAGTGGACGTCTCCAAATTCAAGGCTGCTGTTGAGAGCCGAATTCAAGAAGGAACTGCTGCACAAGCTGAAGTGCAGCAGCGTCTAGAGGCTCTTGAAGCCAGCCGAATGGCTGCTGAAGAGTTGCTCCTGGCCAAAGACGTCCAACTCTCAGAGGCTGCTGCTGCTGCTGAAGCCCAAAGAGCTAAATTCCAAGAGACTGAGAATCAACTGCTGATCCAGAAAGTTGAAGTGGCCCAAGCTCAGACAAAGGCTTTCCAAATTCAGCAAGAGCTGAATGAGCTAAAAGGTTCTTCCTCCAAGGTCGCTGATGAGCTGAAGAAATCCAAGGAAGACTTGGAGGAGACCCAGAAGAAACTGGTTGATGCTGAGGCTTTACTCAAAGTCCGTGTCTATACCCAAGAGGAATATGAGATGGGTTTCAGAAACGGATTCCGAGTTTGCCGAAGAGTCTGCCTTCATGCTGAGCCGAAGCTGGACTGGTCTAAATGTGCTGAGTGGGTCCAGAATCCCGAAGACCCTCACATGAAGTATGCAACTCCAGCCGAAGCTGAAATTCTTAAGGCTGAGGAAGCCGAAGAGGAAGCTGAGAGACTGGAGTTGGAAGCTGAGCAGAGGGAAAGGGAGGCTCGGCAAAGTGCAAAGCCCGCTTCTTCTGCTGCTGGGGCTGAGGCCACCATGGGGCTCAACGCTGATCAGTCTGATCCTCAGGCTGAAGCATAGGAACTCGGGCAGTCGTCTTCAGAATCTTGCGGTTCATCATGTGCTTAACTTTAGACTTGCCGCTTTCTGAGTTTTTTGCCTTGTTTTTTGCTTCAGCTTGCCTTGTCGTACAGCAGTTTTATTTTTTTGCTTATGTACGTATTTCGGCAGCTGTTATTTTCCGCTTGTGGGCGGCTGCCGATATTGAATTATTGAACTTGTAGCTCAATTTTTGAGCATGAAATATTAATTTGATGCTCTTTTCTTCAGTTGCTTTATTTTGATGCTCTTTTCTTCAGTTGCTTTATTTTGATGCTCTTTTCTTCAATTCTGACGAACATACTTGCACTAAGTGCTTCTTGCCCCCCCAGAAATTGAAGTATGACTTCAGCTGAATAAGCAATTTCTTTACTTCTTCAAAATGGGTATCCGAAACACAGGGCCAACTGAAGGCAATGCTTCTGGGATACAAGTCTTACTGAAGATTGACTTTGTCTGAAAGTTGGATATCCGAAACACAGGGCCAACTGAAGGTAATGCTTGGGATATTA